ACGACTGCCGGTATAATTAAATATTACAGCATTTACAGCCATGAGCGCAGTGCAAAATTACGGAGCTGGAAGCTGTCGCTTGAGAAATTTGACGCAAAGCTAGGCCTACTTAACTATACCGACTTTTATTTTGCGCAATTTTCGTTTCTAGGCCGACCACATTATCCATGTTTGACGACGTGGCATGGGCAAAAGAAAGTAATAGCCCTAATCACACTACCCTACATCCAGCCAAACTCATTTTCGGAAATTAACTTGATATAACATTGAACGGAGCGCCATGAATCGCTTATTAAAATTATTCGGCTAATTAGCAATGTAGCGCGAGATCTATGGCGCCTGTAAATGTATTTTGACGGCGTGTCTCGAACTTATATTGCATACGATACGTTGTTTTATTTATCGCGTTAAATTCAAATAACTGTACAATTGAAGTAGCGAATATAGATTAGTGACCGGTAATTGAAGATACTGTTACACAGAATATTGCCTTTCGTAATTGTGTGTTCTTTATTTTATTCCAAACAAAATTAAACCTGATATAGGCTATACCCCAATCAATGCATTTTAACGCTGTAATTATCGGATATTACTTTACTTCGTTCATTGTTAAAAAGAGAGCCTACATTACTTAAATTGGAAAACACTTAATGAAAGGGAGGAGGAAGAGAGCCTGACTCAGGATAGAGACATTAGATAAAAACAACTAAAGTAGGCCTCCGTTGACCATGAACCATCCAAAGGCCTCCTATGTATTGTGAACCTAAATATAAATTAAGTTAAAGTTGTTCTAATTTTTTTACAATGAATTTGTTAAATACATACAACCCCTTTTAATAGTGAATTTCCTTTTTATTTTTGTAAAGATATGTGCAATTTAATAATTCTGAATTGAATGTTGTTTAAAATGTTGTTTTCAATTATTTTTCTACAATTAGGCCTACTATTCTAAATGTATGTGTCTATTGTATTATCCAGATGATGTATTTTCATTTGTAAATAAAAATAAAATTTGAATTGAATTGAAAAAAGGAAATTGGTTCAGTCGGTTAATCTGGTGGTAGACTGTGTGCGCGCTGAACCGTGGAGATCATTAGGTTCCCGGTTCAATTCCTATCGCTCCCTCTTCTTATGTTTCAGCTGGAGGGAGCCGTTGGTCCCATGTGCATTTACGGCCCATGTGCACGTTGAAGAACGCAGTACACTTTTCAGAAAAGGGTAGGGGATTATCTCCTGGTGTACTGCCCAATCACCACCAAAAGGACCCTGGAAGTAAGTCTTCTTCTAGACTTTCGTGGGCAATCCGTGGTGTTTACACCGAATAAACCCAATCCAGTTCTGGAAGACTAATTTTATCGATTGTATAATCTCCTATAACCGGTAGGCATAACAAGCGGAAGCATTTTGCGAGCAACGAAAGCACACCACGTACGAGGTCCATGGGGTTATGAAATCAAATCAGTATTCAAAAGCCGTCAAAGTTCAGTGGTCTTTATGTAGTGAGTGGATTAACGGACTAAGTCATAGGTATTTCGCTCCCCTTTCCCCTTTCCTTCCCCGTCAATTATGAGAATTAAGCCCTCAGCTGGCCGAGGCCGATTCTGTTCTGATTTGGGGCAACCCCTGAAATTATTATTTTTCTCTCTTAGGATGCCGAAAATGGGATCAACAAATCTCTCATAAAATTCTCTTTCTTTTTTTTTCCTGGAGTACGGTAATACATAATATCCATCAAAGCTTTAAATAGGCCTATTGGCGGACTGTAACGTGTTTATTAATGCGCATGTTTCTATTTTCTTAAAATGTTCAAGGAAGCTGTTTGGGGTGGGGAGGGTACTGAGCTGCAGCGGGAAAGCCCAACCCACCCCGCCTCCTACGCACACTGACATGCGGGAACTGATTCGCAGATTTATTTCATTAAATTCACAACTTATTATAGGCCTACGTATCATTGCCGCAAGACGGTAAAGAGTTTATCACTTTATCGTATCATGATATATGATAATAAATAAAGTCAAACCCCCTCCTCCGCCCTCCAGAAACTTCATAAAGAGACTTAATACATTACCTCTACATCTTGTAAGTAAGAGTGTACTTGATGTGAAAGAATTTTTAAAAAAAATAAATAGATATAAGAATTACATTTTTGAATATCGGTCACCGATCGTTTGTCAAATATGACTCGTGTGTTGGCGGAGTGACTATTGTTATCATTGATTGAAATTGAGTTCATTGGCGATTATTAGAACATTTTCTTCTTCCTCCTTCTACCGTTGATGCAACCTTCATATTGATCTCGAAACAAATTTATACAATACATGTAATGCGAACATAATTCATTACGAAGTTAATTGAAGTAATCTACATGGCTCGTACTTAAGAGGATGTTATACTGTAGTAATGGTAAAAGCTAGGATCGGAACATTTACTAAGTAAACAATCAATCGAGATGAACTCGAGACGTCATCAACGTTCTGCACATGCTCGTAGACCTGTTATTAAGCTTGATTTACACTACTGCAGCAATTCAAACGCGTTGACGAAGCGCGCGCGTATGCCAATGCAACTACAGTAATTGCTTTATTATAATGTGGACCAACAAAATACATGCATGGAGAAGACGCATAGAGTGATAACAGTTGCTTTATAAAGCAGAATTCTGATCACGCGCTACTAATGCTCGTATTGCTTTCTCGGCACGAGCATATTTTTACGGTACAGTAAATCAAGGTGGTAATCACTCAAAATACAAAATGAATGCTGGCAACCAGTAGAGGGCGCTATTCATTTTTATGAGATTATCAGCAGAAAATAATTCTTAAATCTTGAATCTTGAACTTACTCATATAGTAATGGATTACTATTTTTTAAGCATTATTTAAACGGGGAGCTTATGAAAACAGAGTGGAAATTGAGGGGACGCTTATGGAAATAGATGAAAATCGAAGGGTTCTTATGGGAAATTATTAAATTCAAGAGGCACTTTTTGAATGAAAAAAGATTATATAAGGACATTATGAATGGTGGTTAGGCGGAAAAGATAATCGTCCAGAGAACATGGCTCCAAGGGTGGCGCCAGGATTTTCCCGACGGGGGCGGGGGGCCCGAGGTCCCTGACGAGGTGTCAGATTTCCCCGACGAAAGCAAAGTGAGCGTGGTCGAGATTCGATTAAAAGCCTTAAAAAGTGCTCCTGGGGGGAAGCCCCCGAAAATTTCGACAATTTGTGGGTTTCAAAGGCTTATTTAATCGATTTTAGAGTCTACTAATAATATGCAAAAAAAAACTTGTAATATTTTTTTCTCCCCGACGAATTGTGCTTTTTCTCCCCGACGAGGAGGCCAGCTCTCCCCGACGGGGGCCCGCCCCTCCACCCACCGCTGGCGCCACCCCTGCATGGCTCATGACATGAATGCGTGAATATTTACATAACAGAAAAATAGCAGATGCAATTAGTGGTGGTGGGTAGTGGTTAGCTTGTTGGTCATCGGCCGATTGAGATTAGCAGGATGGCAGGACCATTGTATTTTTTCTTGAAAACTCAGATGAGAATGTTCTAAGGGTCGGAAAAAGAAAAAGAGGAGAAGGACTAGGCATAGACAAATATGTAAAGAGTAATAAACTATCTGTCCATGGATCAGAGCTCTCATCTCTCCAAGAGAAATATCCTCATTTTGATATTGACCTAAGAAGAATGTGTTCCACTCTGCAGCTCAAATCATGCCAACAACCACAGTCCCAGAATTGATTGGATTATTGATGTGATAAAAGAAAATCTTAAGGGGCGCTTAAGGAAATTTTCACGTTAGGAGGGCGGTTATTCGAAAGGGGCGCTTATTCAAACGGGGCGCTTATTCGCGCGAATACAGTAAAAGAACTTTTTTTATATTCAACACAAAGACGTCAGTTTGTCACGGTTTTGTTCATTTTATAGAATTTACCAAAAAAAAAAAAAAAAAAAGAGAGAAATTTCACAATATCACAATTGAACCCTTCTTAAATTTTTATAAATTTACAAATAAATCGTCAAATTTGACTCAATTTAACAAATTTAACGGGTGGTTAAAAGCTTTCCTTCCATTCCACTGGAGAATCGTGTGTTGATAGGCAGATTTTTGTTTTGAAGATAAAACACACCACACTCTTGTCATATCTAGGATTCTTGAAATGAGAGTGCTGATTGAAAGGCGCGAAGGTAAAGTTTGGGAGGAAGGGGTCGATGATCAGTTTGATGGGCGTTAACTCGCAAAATAAGGTGATTTTAAGGATTTTTAACTACTTGACTGTGATTTTTAGGGGCGGCTGGGGGGGGGAAGTAATTTTTGGAGGGGTACGCCTCCCCCTCCCCCTCATCTCTACGCACACCCCTAGATACGCCACTGGTTCCTTTCATGGATCGTACGTATCGGCAAGTGCTGAATTGTTGGATGTAAAGTATACTATAGACTGTAAGTCTGTATATTTCTGTATAGCCTATAAGTGACAAAATAATTTTCAAAAATCGAAAAAAAAAAATCATATTCATAAACTAGACTGTCTTATGTAGGCACTACACCTGGCACTACCTTGTATCCCTATCTGGTCTCCGCCAACACTAAAAACATTATTTTTTATGACTCATATATTAAATATTAATAATAATACTATTAGCCTATACTTTACTATACTAATTAGGTATAGGCCTAGGCCTACACAACAACCAATTTAGGCCCATTATAATTTGGTATTGCCTGCTTGACCCCAGTAATAATTCGGACTAAATGGTGTTGTTAAGAAGTGTAGGCACTAGTCTAGGTCTACTTCTTGTTATAAAGTACTGTTACCCTCATACATTTCCCAATAATTAGGGCCGGGACAAGCAACAGAACAATGCCGGGATTGATTAAACGTCACGGTCGTCGACGGGGTACTGGTTCGTGAAAGATCACCGACGTAAATCAAGCTAGGCCTAGCCTGGCCTAAGTAAGTGACATGAGAAAGTAAATAAATAAAGTAAGATTACCGTATGAATAGTTCGTAGACAGCTAACCCAGACAGGATCATCTATGCATCCACAGTATGCTACGGTAGGCCTACACTCTAAAAATGTTTTTAATCAGTAGAACAGTCTAGCAATTAAATATTTTTTGTTACGTGAACTTTCCCACGATGACTTTTGATTAGGCGCGCCTATACGCATTTAGGGTACTACTCTACACGTACTACATGTCACGGTCATAGCCGTGGATAGTTGGTAGACACGTGTGATGAACGCTTTCAGAAAATTCGAAAATTTGTGTTCATTGTATCAGGAAGTTTTTTTGGCAATTTAAGTTTTTAGTAACGTCTGGACATTTAAAATTGATTTTAATAACTTTGGTCCTTTAGTTTTATGACCCTGCCTTAGTACCATACACAAACGGTAGGTAGGAAGGGGTATTCTGCATCATCGACCCCCACCGCCACTGAACTAAGAATGGGAGTGAGAAGTTTGGTGCTATACAGTGACGTTTATTGTATGATTGATGTGACTATACGATATCAAATACAGTAATCAAAAGGACGAGAATAGTTTCGGTATCATAATCTTTTTATCTTTTTCCGGGACCTACGCTCACACCACGCGACTGGGAAAAGTGGACGAATACAGTATCAAGAAATTGAGAACTGCGAGCGTGAGATCACATGACCACCATCATCACATGATCATCAGAAAATTCGATCAACCAAGATGGCTGTGCTGAAAAGCAGATTTGTAGTATGTGCTTTTTTAGCAGTGTATATCGGTTGTGGTAAGTATTCGGGGTATTTAAAATGTATGCATAATCGCTGTCTATTTAAATACATATGCTTAGCGTTCGAATGTCTTTTTAAATACAATATATATCATACACGTAGGCTAGGCCAGTCAGCTTGCTGCGGATGGTCGGCACCGGAGTGAGTTCTCCTAGCTAGTCTAGGCCTACTACTGTAGGCCTATATAGCTGCTCACTCGAAGGCCTAGCTAGTCTATCCCATTGAATTGCTAGTAAATTGAGCTGTCCCGCGAAGGATACACTATATTATATTAGCCTTGCTTTTGTTTGTTTTTGCAAAAAAAAAATATTTTGTCAAGTCTATTTATTGAATAATACTTTATTATTAAAAAATGTAAAAAAAGCTATTTTTTCGTCATCACATTGTCATTATTATTAATCGTCTTTTGTAAATTTGATATTGTAATGATGTAATGATTTTCTTGGTTGTCTAATCAATAAAGAAACTAATTAGTGTATATTTAATAAAATTGATTACAATATTAATAATATATTATTAATTAATATATATTTATGTTTATTTCTAATAATTCATGAATGTGTAAATTGTTAAATACAAACTCATATTTTATTACTTAAATGGCTTGATAGCATTAATTTTGTATTTCTTGAATGTTTGAATGCAAGTATCACAGAATCATTAAAATTTGGTAAAACCACACCCTCATTTGGTTACATGTTTGAACTACTATGGATAAATAATATAATCAAAATATTTTACTATTTTAATTAAACTGCATTAATTATTTTTAAACATAGGATTGTGTGAGAATACCTTCTATGTGCTAAATGCACCTACCTTTGTGAAGTTTGACTCAACTGCTGGACCTATTCAGGCAAATCAAGTCCAAGACATCCTCGCCCTCTCATTAGGGCTATCTCCATCAAAGGTACGTAAATAATGCTGTATACATCATATGCAATGCTTCACTGTAATTTTGGATCTGTGTAATGTGTTGGTGAGGTGGGGATGACATCTTGACTTTAAAAAACTTCAAATTTCATAACTGAAATAAGATCTGAAATACTAATCCACTTTGTGCCACCTCCTGTCAAATTTATCCTGACATATATTGACAGACAGAAGTTGAGAAAGAGGCTAGCACCACTGACAGGCAAAGCCTACCTGGGAGCTGAAGTAAAAAAAGTAACATATATTGCGGTATAATTTTAGATTGTAGAAAGTCTGTTTAATCAATAATAAACCAAGCACGATTTGATGTAAACTTATCAACATGACTTTCGTCAGGCAATGTGAGTTAGCATCCGTTAATTGGGCATTGTGTGAAAAACACACAAAGTACTGTAAGTTACATAAGTTGTGCTTGGTTTATTATTGCTTAAACAGTTCTACAATCATTTTTTTTAAAACTGTATACACTATAACAGTATGTATGATATTTTACAAGATATATTCTTCCTATGTGCCAATTTCATATTGAAAGCTTCCAGGAGCTTGTTTTTTGTTTGTTTGTTGTTTTTTTTTTCAGCAAAGTGTTGTACCTGTTGGTGCAGTGCTGTATTTACAATTATTTTATTTTCTGGCGAGACTGTTAAAAAAAATTAACAGATTGATTCAATTATATTAATTGAATTGCTCAAAAATGGATCAGATGTCTTTATGTTTGTGCAGCACTGTATTTACAATTATTATATTGTCTGGTCAGATGTTTTTATTAACAATTGATTTCTTTGTTTATTTACTACCACAGGATATAGAGTGGGGTGGTTTATTGACTGGAAATATATTCAAACGTCCAAAAAGCAGTGTTATATTTAATATTGAGAGCCAAGAAGGCAGTAGAGTCAAACTCAAAAATATAGCATCATTCCCAATTGCAAATGTAAGTTTACCTCAAAATGTAAAAAGATACCATTGTCTTATGTTCTCTTATGAGCCCCCTAAATTAGTGTTGGAATTCAACAATGTCAGCATAAGCAGCATTGAGGTGCTCAATCGTCTAGTGGGGTAGATAGTTATTATGTGTTATTGTATTCTTTATTTTTCTTTATTACATTACATAACATTTATATATGCACTGATATTTAAATATTTAGTGTCAAAACGGTGGGGGGAGGTGTTCCATTGGATTCCTGCCTGAAGATGACCAATACATGACAAAATGAGATATCATCTACAGTATACTGTAGGTTAACATAAGAGACCTTATGACACACACTATAAACAATACCAAGACTTCATATACTGTACTGTATTATTAGCAAATATTTTTATATAATTATTGTTATTCATTTGCAGGATCGTGTTGGTTTCGTAGAAACAAATTATTTAATGACTTCCATCTCGGTAGCATATCCGACACAGTCACCAATTTTACTTGATACTACTATTGATGGCAAGGTAGATATGTAGAAAATATATTTTTTCAGATCGATGTTTTATATACGTTCAGATAAACAAAAATATTATAGGTAGGATGTATGTCCTACTCCTTGGATATTGGTCCCAAAAAGTAATTACGTAAATGTAAACAAACGCGTTTGTGGGACGAACATGTATTACATGCCCTGTTCTGATTGGTCAGTTTTTAAGATTGATTGACACTCCGTAAATGTCCATTCTTTACAAATGTCATGTTGCTTGCCTTTTAATTTTGTGCAAGTAGTATACAGTAGTTATACTCCTTACACTGCTAACAGGTTATTGCACAAATTGGTGTATAGTCCAAGAACAGCTACTGTATGATCATGATTATGATCATTTATATTTGTTCTGGTCGAACTCAATCAAACATTGTATAATGTAAGATTTTAAAAAAAGAAATTTAAAACCATCTGAGATTTTCCAGTATATTTTATGTCCTCTTTCCAAATAATGTATCATTTTATGATAAAAGTTCTTATAATTTTCAAATCAAATTTTATGTTTTTTGCAGCTTTTTAGTTTAGGATCTGAATATCCCAACATATTTGGCAGCTTGCCAGATAGCTTGGATGCAGTTCTACCTGCACTTCTTCACGGTCAAAGTTCAATCCTTTATAAACACGATGCCCCAAGTCTGAACATTTCAAAACCTGCACATTTGCAATTCTTCAGTGAATTGCAGATGCTTGAAGAGGTGCTAGTATCAGTAAGTAGATACCATAATAATGTTTATGTACGTCATGACACATAAAACCGAAAGTTATTATTTCGGTCTTATGTAGTGTATAATTCCAAGGCTTCTATGCATTTCACATTATTAACATTGGATCAAAGCACCTATGAAACACATACTCCTGTTTCCCTGTAGATGCATTTCATAAACGTTACAACTAGTAGTTAGCACATCGATATTCAAAATATACTAGTTAATTATTCACTCTTGAATCCCGGGTGAAGAGTGGTGACGTGGATACAAGTGCCAAGGATACAAAACAATAGGCAATATCAAGTTATGCATTTTTTGATTGGAAGAACTCAGGTTGGCCACTGTGCTACGCACTTCTATTCATCAGCCGGTGATCAGCCAAGGGTCAGCAGTGTGTGCCCTTCTGGGTGGAGATAATTTAATGAAATGGAATATAGTTAGATTGATATAGCACTTTATACCAAATTCTCAAAGTGCTAGAGGCTTGGACTAGCTCGTACAGTAACTTTCTTCTGTCCTAAGGGTCACTTTGTGTCTGAGCTACCCTGTAAAACGGTGCAAGCTACTCCTGTTTGGATTGGACACAAGTAATGTCACCAACCTTACAACCTTTCTTTTACAAATCCCAAGCCTTATACATGTGACTAATGGCATATGTCAGCAAATTTAATTAGAACCTATTTTTTCATTTTATTTTTTTTTTTAGCTATTCAAGAACAAAGTATTAGTGGATGATAGTGTACCTGACTCGATGACCTTTGCTCTCTTTGGGTTGAGAGCAATACAGGAGCAAGATGGACTTAACTCAATTGAGGCTAAAGAAGCTAGTACAATACTAGAATCATTTCTAATTGAGGTTTGTCAGGTTTGATGTGTAATTGAAGATGATGGTGTTGAAAATGAGTTGAAGTTGATGGTGTAAATAATGTTGATACAATAAGGTTAATGATGATGATAATGAATTTAATGATGACAGTGGTGATGAGGACAATGATGATAATGACAATTAAATTGATGACAGTGAACTTGATAATGATAATGACATTGAAGTTGTTGTTATAGAAAGTGGTGATGCTAATGGTGATGATTATGAAAGAGGAAAAGTACATCAACATATCTATTACTGGACTTGAAAACAATGTTATTTCACAAGAAACATTTCTTTATAGGCCAGAACACTACCATTATGGTTAACATTGGTTTTTTTTTATCTATCACAATTTACATAAATCCAACTTTTAAATTGTAGATTGGCAACGGGTTTATGGAATTGTATGACAATAGTGTCATTGTCACTGCAGTGACGACACAAAGAATTCCACATTTCCAGCATCGTTCCGGAAGATCTATACTGCAGAATACGCAGGTAAAAATGGCCACATTATTTATTTTTTTTATTACCTGGTTGTAGGCCGAAGGCCAAGGACTGCCAAGCAGTGAACTTAATCACTATTCAAAGCTCAGCATATCAAGACGAACATGAACACTAGGTGCTCTGCATAAACTAAGTCTCAATATGAGGCTTAGGGAGTGGAGTTGTTTTGGTCGTGAGAAAAATATCCTGTTACCGTGACAGGAATTTAACCCAGGACCCTGGGATTGGGACCACCGCCAAGCTAACCAAGCTTTTCAACTCCACTATTGACTTAACATCTTTATTATAAGGTTCATTCTGATATGGACACATTATGCTTAGTTATTAACTTATTTTTATTAGTTCCTTTGTGACCTTAGGTCACATGGAACTAATGTAATGGTTCACATGTGCCATTGGACCACATTTGCCAGGACCTGGTGTAGGCCTAGACAATCTGATATACTATACCGTTACGTAAAGTAGGTTTCTTGGCCTACCGTCAAGCAATAAAAATCAACATTTGTGGAATTATTTTCCAAGAAATGATGGTTAAAAATTCTGGACACATAAATATGCAGCATTTAATGGACGGAAGAACCTAGGGGTTGGCGGGGGCAGCATGTGATGGACGGACGAACCTAAGGGTTGGCGGGGGGACGGGAGTTCATCAAATGATGTTTGGGAAAATAATGGTCAGAAAATACAGCATCTGATGGACAGTCCCGGGTGGGGGAGAACGTTAATATTATGGACACATAAATTTACAGCATGTGATGGACTGACCGTCTATACACATATACAGCATGTGATGGAGGCATGTATCTGATGGACAGTCCCGGGTGGGGGAGAACCTTAAAAATTATGGACACATAAATTTACAGCAGCTTCATCAAATGATGTTTGGGAAAACAATGGTTAGAAAATACAGCATCTGATGGACAGTCCCGGGTGGGGGAGAACCTTAAAATTATGGACACATAAATTTACAGCATGTGATGGACTGACCGTCTATACACATATATAGTACAGCATGTGATGGAGGCATGTGATAGACGGACGAACGTATGCCTTTCTTCAATTAATTCCAGTAAAATAATTATTACAACTTCAAGAAAACTCGTGTTTTTATTGCATAAATTAATTTCACAAGCTTTTATTCTGAAATATAGCGGTATCAATATTCTTTCTATAACGGTACAAGCCACCGGGAACCAGACGTCGAACATAAAGTTTAGTCTAGCTAGGAGCATGGGCCCAAGCTAGACAGACGGCGCCTAATTCGCTGCGGTTCGCGATCTGAACTTTTTGGGAGTAGGTTAATGACTGGTGTATAGGCCGCACCCCAAACTTCGAGGGGAAAATCACGTATACAATTTGTGGCTTATTCACCGGAAAATACGGTTTATGGAGCAAAAACTTGTGTTTCATCATGATTTTAAGGGGGCGGGAGAATTTGTATGAGGCTGAGGCATAACGACATCCCTGCACTTCTCAGAACCACTTACCCCCCCCCCCCCTTTTCATAATTTTCTCGACTGAAAATAAAAATACTGTATTACCTTTCACAATCATTATTCAAAAAGATACAATAAGTTATTGCAATTCACAAATGTACATTGATTTTTTACGTACAAAGGAACGTACGCACCCGCAGGGTTCTGGTTTATATTTATTTATATTATTTTTGTGTATACAAAACTGTACTGTACTTTGAAATATATATTTAGTTGTATCAGATATCTGTTGAATTGATCTAAAATAAAAGGTGAATTGAATTTAATTAAATTATTCATTATAAGTCTTCTTTTCTACCATTATCAAAAATTGCCAAACAGCAATGTGATGTGTTAGTATCTGTCATCCACAGGACCCACTCACCCCTGATGATTTGAATGTCGCAGAAAGAGATGAAGATTTCCCAGCTTTTTTCAACATCATCCTTTGGATGTCAATCATTCTGATACTCTTTATTTATGCCGTGGCCTACGGGATGTGGTACATGGACCCCGGCGATACCATCATCTACCGAATGACAAGTCAAAGGATAAAAATGGATTAAAGTAATTCTTCACAGAATTGGAAGCTCTGTGTAATTTCATCACAATCCTGATGCATTTAATTTTTTGCATCAGACCTGGGGAATGGGGGGGGGGGGGGTAAGGGGATCGACAGAGGGAATGCATTATTCATAGACTTGATGCATTTCATCTTTCACATCACAGAATTTTGGGCATTTCATACAGTATATCATTACAGAGAAAAATTTACATAGATCCATGGCCATTGGGGCTATAGCACCCAGAAGAAAAAAGAAAAAACTAAATGAGGAAGAGAGGAGAGAGGAAAACAATTTTATTGAATGCGCAGTATTATACCTCTATAAAAGTTTGCGTACTTATTAATTGTATTTTACAATCAACTATACCACTCTATATGGCCCTGATTTTTCTCAGGATCTCTCAGGACTAAAATACATCTTCGCATACGTCCCGTAGTGATGATGATTATGAAAATTTCTGATATTTAATTTTTTAAGAGGTGCATTGCCTGAACATTCACAAACCTAATATTTATTTGATATTGTCAATATTTTATTTACAGTATATCTTTTTTTAAATATTAAATAATTATGTTGTTTTTTTTCTCTCTCAAAACTATATTTTTCATTATTAATATTACTCATCTTTTTTATCATAATAATATGTATTCATTTTTTAAATAATAGAGATTGGTTATCTGGTTTAGCATTTATCTGGTGCTATCCAAATGACATTTAAAATTCTGAACTTACTCCCACCAACAAAATTTAAACAAAGTTAATCAGAGACAGTTGTGAAATAGGTAAATATACAATTTCATAAAAATTATTAAAACATCATTTAAATTTTTGTATTTAGATTTTGTTTTTAAATTCCATCACATTCCAAAAGTGATTTTATGAAAGTTTTGTGACCATAATCTTCGGTTTGGTGGTATTTTAATTTACCGTAACTCATGTAAAATTATTGCATGTATATTCTGTTCATAAAAAACACTAGATACTGTATGTTAAATGTGATGTTGGTGGGTATCCATGGTGATTGATAACTGTCAGTCTGAAGAATTGTTTGATGACAAAAATGTACTGTATATTAAAAATAGTTCACTGCTCATATTTTAGTAGGAATATTATCTCTTGCTTACCTTAGCAGCGGTCTCAGCAACTGATTTGGTCGCTGTCTTCAGGCTAATGAACCCTTGGTTGAATTGGGTCATTCACGCTTAGGTCACCAAAGCAGTTGCTGAAACCGTTGCTAAGGTAACCAACTAATTGAATACGGATGATTTTTCTACTACACATATGGAACCAGATGAAATTCTTTAATGTTTATATTTTGTTTCAGTTATTGATATTATTATTGAAATTGATGTTTTTATTAAAAATATTAGTAAGATGTTTTGTCAATTATAATTGGTGTACAGTAATTACTGTAAACATTATTACTTTTGTTATGCCATAGAGAAAATTTTCTCTATGGTTATGCAAAACGGTAAAAAGGGAATATTGCATACTGGTTCGTTTGGTTGAGCTTAAAATGGCTCAAAATTTATTATTAATTGCAATAAATATATTAACTGATTATTTGATTATATCATTAGGAACAGTTGTAAGATAAATAAAAAAAGATTATAAATATACCAGTAACCATGTAAACTATTAAAACCTATTAGTAGTATTTGATAAATGAAGTAAATGTTATTGTATATTTGAAGGTGTATAGTGGTCAATATAGTGGTGAATAAACTGTAACAGAAAAGTTATCATTTTACTCCCTTTAATTTCATTCAATTTCGTAACATAGTGAATGGTTGTTTCTAAAGCCGGACACACACTTCGTCGTACCACCTATGGTCGTACAACGAAAATAACTCCGCTTCCTGTGAGCGCTGGACGACGCAACGGTAGCAGGTCAAAAGGGCAATAAACCAAAACGGCAATGACCAAAACGACAATAACCAAAACGGCAATGAACTAAAAGGGCAACAGACCAAGACGGCAATATGGCTAAGGAGCGAAATCAATAATTTGACTAGCAAGCGGCGTGGTCTGCGGTTTATAATTTTTGAATCGTTCTAAAATTGTCCCGATAGGCAAATCGAATATTGCAATCGGCTCTTTTTGCCAGTTTCAATTTTTACAAAATCCTTTCTATTTAAACAATACTTAACATTTCTTAATGAAAAGGGGATTACGGATAGGAAAATTAAATTGGGGGACTAACTAACCTAGCAACCACTCACGTGAGATAAAATTGAAGATAAAAAATGATTTTCCATTCACCAACACTGTCCGATAGTAAATAATGTTCTAATAAGCAAAACCCACAGTGAAGAGTCCAAAACAAAGTTTCAAATGTTGTTTGTAGCAAATAACCAGCGAAGCGGACCCTAGACTGGGGAAGTGTAGGACCCCCGCGGGGTGGGCCGAAGCCCCCCGAGGCTCTGACAAATTACTGTATTAGCATTTTGAGCGCCTTATAAATGGATTTCGTTTCTATTAAAATTTTTATTAATTTGGGTGTTATTAGGGATTTGTTGTAACGTTTTTGTCCTTTATATCTGTAGGCCTACAGATATTTATTTGTTCATAATGGATCCATTTCCAATCACTGGCGCTGATAATTTCCAACAAATTTCCAGGGGCGTCGGAAGCTATTTTTATTGGTCCGGCCAAATATACATAATCATCATTGCAGTAACATGACTTCTTTTCATTAGTTTTGTCTTTGGATTGGATTGGATTTATTCGGTGTAAACACCAAGGATAGCCCACGAAAGTCTAGAAGAAGACTTATTTCCAGTGGGGTCCTTCTGGTGGTGATTGGGCAGTACACCGGGAGACAATCCCCTACTCTTTTCCGAAGAGTGGACTGCGTTCTTTAACGTGCACATGGACCATATGCACACGGGACCAACGGCTTAAATGTCTCATCCGAAAGACGGTGCACTAGTAACTTGTATTTCAGCCCTCTAGCGGAAACACAAGGAGAGGCAGCGATGGGAATTGAACCGGGGACCTAGAGATCTCCACGGTTCAGCGCACACACAGCGGCTACCGCCAGATTAGCCGACTGAGAGCTAAGCTGCTCTCTTTGTCTATAGCTCAAAACACGCACTATTCTATTATATCAGTCATTCATACTTGTACTAAATATATCATTTAACCATTCATGCTTTATCATTTATATTTGTCACCATGGGATTTCATAAATATTAACGTACGTACAAGTAATAGTAACATTGCTTTAACAGTAGAAGTGATATTTAAAAATGATGTTTTACACTAGCCGATGTATTACCATACGGCCTGCTAGTATGTTGCAAAAATACTCTAAAATAATTGACACGTATTCGTCTTGAACCATGTCATAGTAATTTTTTAATCAAAAAAGTGTAAATCGATCAGTTGAATTGATTAATAAGTAGGCCTATCTATCAGTTAATAAGTATCTAATCAAAATTGCTGATTTTCCCTGGCGTTTGTCCACCACCCTGACCGGGACTGTTGTAGGGCCTGCGTAGAACCCCTGTAGAAACGTACAGTACCTTATTCTGATATTGACCCTCCACCCATAGTTGATGCCCCTGATTCTTATTGCTCTATTGAGTACTTATCACCTGGTAGATCTGTCCATATGATGGGAATACCTACATACATGGTCCTCCTGCTATTAATAAACCAAAACTTTACTAAATAATCATACTAAAAAATAAACTAGCAGTCTAATATTTGAAAATCTAACGTATTCACCTAGCTTAATTCAAAAGACATTTAATAGGTTTACTAAATAATGCATAGCATATTGTGCTCTGTGTCCCTGTGTATTCATAACACATGTTAGTTTATTTAGGCTACATCTTTTTATAGGCTATGTATATCACAATATCCGTCAACTAGTATAAATATAATAGACGCATATTCATTGTTATTCATATTGCATTATATACGGTAATATAATTTTGTTCCTGTTTCTTGCATTTTCATTTATTCATGGAGGAAAATGCATACTGTATCCTATGTATACATAACTCATGTTTTACTAAATTAGCATGCTGCCATTATTTTATAGCAAAATGTGGGGTTTTTATAGTTTTAATCTTTACTAAAATGGCTGGTCTGTTTCTGAGATAAACATAATAAAAACAAATAAGATAAACAGTTTTAAACAGTGATTTTTATTTTGACTTTTTACTACTTTACTATTTTAAATTGTTAATATCTTAACGTATTTCTCGTCATTGCCAAGTTGTTTTGTCGTGTGATTTTTAATGTAATTTTATCCTTCCTAATCAAGGCTGTTGCAAAGGAAAAACAAATTACTATTTTAAAATGTACAATAAAGTGTTCTTGAATCTATAATCCTTTTTTAGGTATTTCACAACATCAGTTAACTTGTATAAATATAATAGACCTATACATTGTTATTCATATTGCATTATATAATGTGTTCGTGTTACTTGCACTTTATTTATTCATTCTTTGAGGAATAAGTATCTCATTTCATATAATTATGGAATTGATAACAAATTTTGAACAATTTATTTTTATATAATTTTTGCAATACACTGTGTTTCATATTATTTTTAAAAACTAATTGTGATCTAGTCATTATTTTTCTAGATATAGCATTCTTAACCTGTGTGATGACTGCACTCTCGAAAAAGGGCCCATCGGAACCTAGTTTCACCACTGGGAAGTGGCAGGTTCGAGGGAGGTCCCAGCCGGCCCCCTCCAAATTTGAATGTGCAGGTTACGGTATGTTTGATTGCGTCAGAGAAAGTAGAATTTGGCTTACAAGTTGAGTATTGAGTTGTTAATTATTGGTCCGGCCAAAACCGGACCAGCCGGACCGCTTCCGACGCCCTTGAAATTTCGTACTACAGAAGAGCTGGCAAATAATATGCAATGTATACTATAGCTAGTACTGAATCAAGAGGTTATAAAAATTGAACTCCGACAAAGTATTCTGAAACCAATAGTTTCTGAATATTTAAATTTTCATTCCATATTGTACTGTTATGTCATTTACATCAGTAGGTGTATAACCATTGTTCATGGATCAATTTGTAATCACCAGATCTGATCATCCCAAAAAAATTCATACCACATTATTATAAATATACGGTTAGAAGAGCTGGCAAATATGAAATGCAATACTTACTATAGTACCGGTATTTAGCTATAATTAGGAACAAGTTTGTGAAATAATATGCTAAAAAAGTGGACCTTTTGTTGGAAGGAGGGGTGCGTCCGAACCCTCTGCACCCCCATACCCCCTGCACACTGGCCTGTAGCCATCCCATGTAGATCAGGCATAGAACCTGCAATTTCTCGCTGAGGCGAGTATTATATCCATTAGACCAGAGAGAGTCCTATTCTAACACCAATATATATATACACACGACTACTCAGGATTTTAACATGTTCCTATAAGCAGTAAGTTTTCATAGACCACGTTAACAATATACTAAAAATTTACCTACATTTAAGCTAGGAATGACACCCCAACTGCGACTATAATATTTTCGATGATGAGCTATACTATAATTATTACTTGTGGTTATGTTATTGTATAATGGTTTCTAAAGGGTCCAAGATGTGTATAAGAGACAGTCCTTAAGCAATAAATTTTCATAGACCCTTTGGCAATATACTTAAAATATATAAACCTACAGTAAATATTTATTAGAGATTCCAATATAAATAATTTGCGAAAGAAAATCAAGCTTTAATGATAAATAAATGGAACAAAGTAATATGCACTTAATAGAGTAATCAATCAACTACAAAATATCCCATGAACATTCCTTGTAATTTTGGCAAATATCTTCACTGAAATTTTGCTAAATATATTGTATCATACTGTACCGTACTACAAATCATGAAAGCCGGTCATACATTTTTTTTAATAGTTCATAAACAATAATTAGATAGACAATAATTAAAACATATACTGTATTAGATATTAAAGTTCAATGACAAACTACAGTGAATATGATGTTTTCAGTTTTGGTTTTTTTCAATAAACAGTGCTCAGATTCAGAGTTCATCTTTCATGTTCAAGACATCATATATCGTATACTTCCCATTACCGAAAATGCATGATCGTTCAGCTCCATTGATAACAGCCGTGCAAGTATACTGAACATTGTTGTTTCCTGGCACAACAAGTTGGGACAAAATGTCATCGATGACTTCCGAGTTCGATTGTTCGATTTCGTTCCTGTACCATGTTCCTTTTTCATCGTCTATCACAGAGCATTCTTTCCGATTTTCTTCGAAAGAAATATCAACATTTGATCGAAAGCAGACGGGAAGTGGTTGAACATTTAATTCCCACCCAAAACTTCCGACATATATTTGGCCTGGGTCGGTCAGTGAGTAACTACCAGAATCGGTAATGACCACTGCCTTCTTTTTAATGTATGCATTAAAATAATCCCGACCCAAATCAACATAACTTGTCCAATCTGGAGGTGGTGTAATATGATTTAAGCTAACATAATTGGGTGCGGTTACCTCTAGAAGTGGGCCGGATGGATGACGGTCATCATAAAATTTCAAATTTATCTGATCTGCGCTTCTTGGCTCATCAGAAAAATGATAAATAAATGTTACATCGCCACCTTCGTAAACATTTTCTCCTGGCGTCATATCACTACTAAGACTAGCAGAAGTTGCGAAATGCACGAACTTAACGAGGAGTAATATGAAAACAAAGCATGTTCTCTTTAGTTTGAGACTCTCCATTTCTTGAATGAGGGCTCTTTAGTTTCTGGACTTGAAATTAAATGTCTACACTGCAAGATAAAATAATAATAAACATCATATCAATAGTACATCAAAGTGAAAGCATACTAACCAACAACTGTTTGACAAATTATACCTTTCAATGTTTTGATTATAGTCTTTACATCTGAGGGAGAACGATGGAAGTATACCTAATACACAGGAACTTAGGATAATGGTTATATTTTTTGTTGTACAAAAATATGGAAGCTAGGCATGCATGGAATTCAGATATAAGATATAATGATGATGATGTTGATAATTATGATGATAATTTGGATGACAATTATAATGACGATTGTGATAATGATAATTATGATGATATCTATGATGATTACTATAGTTATGATGATGATATCTATGACGATGATGAAAATTATGATGATAATAATTGTGATGATAATGATGAAGATGATGATATCTATGATGATGATAATTATGGTGATGATAATTATGACGATGATAATTATGATAATAATCAGGATGTTGATAATTAGGATATTTGATATTATGATGATAGTAATTATGATGATGATAATTATGATGACAAATATGATGACAGTAATTATAATATTATGATGATGGTAATTATTAGGATGGACTACTATCATGGTAATGAATTATGATGATGATAATAATTATGATGCTAATTATAATGATGACGATGAGGGTAATTATGATGATAATTATGATTATTATGATAACTATTAAGAGAATTACTATAATATTTTTTATCATATAATATTTAATTATAATAATTATTACAATATAAGGCCTATTACCAAAAGATCGATGAAGTAACAAAGTACTGATATTTTAAAATCCTGGTTATTTCATTATATTAAATTTATTTGAAGGGCCAAATTATTTTTAGATTTCATGTCATGGGCCAAAGAACATATCCGAGTTTCAAGCTATTTCTTATACTTTTGTACTATTATTAGGGGAAAAATTAATTACAATTTTTGCACCATAAGATTGAGATATGATATGTTGCCAAAAATAAGACAAATAATTTTCCACTATTATTTGCTTTTTGATGATCTTTTATTTCTTGCTTGTGTAAAGCCATCACAAGAAAAATTGACCAACGGCAGGGGAAGAGCGATGTTTAAGAACCTCTAAAGGTCCAGGTGGAAAAGCCCCCGGAAGCCCTAACAATTTAGTGATTTTGAATGCTGACATGGGCGAACGCAGGATGTTTTATTGGGTGTTGCCCATAGCGGGCCGATAGGCCCAAACGAGGGGGGGAGGTTGTGGGGGTGGGTGTCGGTATGGTAGGAGAATTCCAGGCCCGTAGCGTGGGGGGGGGTTAAGGGGGTTACGACCAACCACCCAAAAACTGTAGAAGGTCCGCATTTAAAAACGAAAAATTGATATTCGTGGATATATTTACAATGTTCTCCAGAGTATAATATCTGCTAAAAAATAAAATAAGACATAGGCCTATCACTAAAGTTCATCTCTGTGTTGTGGTTATGTTATTGTATAATGGTTTCTAAAGGGTCCACTTTCCACTGAAATGAACCTCCTACAAATTAAGTCACGCTACGGGCCTAGAATCCCCTCTCCCATCGTTTGAAATTTAAAACAAATAAGACCACTCTGAGGCTCTTAGTGGGCATCTATATGAATAATAAAGTTGTTATTATTTAGAATTAGAAGGGATCAGTCACTGTTAGTGGCCGCCCAAGCTCCCTATATCTAGGCTATAGTCTGACCACACTATCTCGGTTCATTTTTCACGTAAGCTTTTCTAATTGTTAGGTTTTTCAGAGGAAGCCGTGCCCCTTGTCAGTCCCGCCAACAAATTTTAAAAGGGGAGAAAAAAATAATAAGAAGAGGGAAAAGGAGGAAAGGGGAGAAAAAGGAAATGTACCCATGAGTTCAGAGCCGGTTCCAGAAGTGGGCGAGTAGGGCGCTCGGTTATTTTACCACACATTTTTATTTTTCTTTTCATTGGTGATGATCGAAACCAACGTTATAGCCTCGACGCCGATTTTGTCAAACGATTTCACTAGTCAGGATGTCAAAAAGTGCCAATTGACAGAGACCTCCAAGACTGTTTTTTTTAGCCATAAATTTATTACGGTATGGTAAAGTATAGGCCCAGCCGATACAGCTATCCATGCTTGAAAATGTCTGTTCAAATTTAGTGCTTTTTCCCTATTTTATTGTGGAAGAGCGAGTAAATGTGTTGACCTCTTCCTTGGCGCGTAGGTACAGTACCACTGAGTATTATATCGAGGTACGTAATTAAACTGTGTGAATCTTACACTGTATGCGCGTATGATATTGTTTGTCTGGGTGTTTATTATATTGGTCTTCACGTGATTACTGGTTGTTGAACACTTCCATCGTTACTGTACGGTTTGTGGGCTGAGCAACGTAAGCTTATTGAATAAGTTTACAGGTATGTTAATGAATCATTGTCATAATGATCATTGTATTTTGCTAATAGTAACTCTATATCGACCTAGTGATATCTGATTGATAATGTAAATGATTTGAGTATGGTAGCCTAATGTATTAGGTAGTATTTCTAGAGGTTGTGAGAAAGGTATTAATGGTGTGATGGCATAGGTATGCGTGCCATAGAGGTAAGCTGTGTGAATGCTGTATGAGTATATCTTTAGACTCGTTTCTTATTTATCCTTACATTATTAATTCCTTTCTAGATTACTATAATGGATGTGTAGCGATGGTTGTTCCTCCAAAGCTAGTTTTTTTTGTGTGTAAATCCAGGTATACACGCACTTGTTTATCTAAGTATTGATGCAGTGATGGTTGGGTAATATTGTAATGATTTAAAGATGTAATCGTATCATGTAGTAATGATGTACATGAGTATATTGATGTGAAAATATGATACAATAATTATGTAGAGATATTAACAGGGATTTATTTTATATGGACTCAATGTGTATTGATTTTAATCTAACGCTTGACGATTAAAAGAACCTGGTAACGTTCATGGTAGTCGGTGTCTTCTTCCTTGTTTGTGAGCTTAAAACTACCACATTATGTTCCCTTTTTAAACATTCTTTAATACATGTGAACACAAAATGTTCTCAGATCTCCTCTCCTTGGACCGTGAGTTCAGAGCCATGACGCAAGTGAGGGGAGGGGAATCAAACTTCTGTCGAGAAGAAGCCAATAATTTGTGGAGCAGCACCGCTTTGAGAAAAGCATTTGTATTGTTTTGAGTGTGCCATTTCCGAGCATTTCACATAGAGATATTTTGGAAATCACGTAAGGTCTGGATTTAATGTCGAATTATGTAACGTGATAGTCTCGGCACCTCGACCTCTGATGATTAATGCCTAAAATTTACTACGAACACGTACACTATAATAATGAGTATCTTTCCTATTCGTCCGTCATTCTTTAGTTCTTCATGTTTTACACACACACACACACATACACACACACACACACACACACACACACACACCTGTCTCTTATACACATCTAGATGTGTATAAGAGACAGTTGTTAGGTTTTTCAGAGGAAGCCGTGCCCCTTGTCAGTCCCGCCAACAAATTTTAAAAGGGGAGAAAAAAATAATAAGAAGAGGGAAAAGGAGGAAAGGGGAGAAAAAGGAAATGTACCCATGAGTTCAGAGCCGGTTCCAGAAGTGGGCGAGTAGGGCGCTCGGTTATTTTACCACACATTTTTATTTTTCTTTTCATTGGTGATGATCGAAACCAACGTTATAGCCTCGACGCCGATTTTGTCAAACGATTTCACTAGTCAGGATGTCAAAAAGTGCCAATTGACAGAGACCTCCAAGACTGTTTTTTTAGCCATAAATTTATTACGGTATGGTAAAGTATAGGCCCAGCCGATACAGCTATCCATGCTTGAAAATGTCTGTTCAAATTTAGTGCTTTTTCCCTATTTTATTGTGGAAGAGCGAGTAAATGTGTTGACCTCTTCCTTGGCGCGTAGGTACAGTACCACTGAGTATTATATCGAGGTAAGATGTGTATAAGAGACAGTATATATATATATATATATATATATATATATATATATCGTATCTTTTAAATTACTTTAAGGTTTTTTCTTCATTTAGTACGGTACTAAACATAGTCCGTACCATGGTGCTTGCTCTAGAAAATTACTTTTGAAGATATATTGTTATGTCAACACGCACGTTATTCTGTGGTTCTTTAAAGATGTTTAACTATTTTGTACATGATTTGAATGACGTTGTGTGAATATACTTCATCAATACGTTTTAGTTTCACATCGCTGAAAATAATGCAGATGATTGTTCTGTTGGCGTCAATATTTATATTTATATATTGTAGGGTTCTTCATTGCCTGACCCCGGTAACTTTCTCCCGTCCGGAAAATTGGCCATTCCAATTCCTCCACTCTTCCCAGTCGGGAACATCAGACCTGATACCGTCGACTCTGGCGGCACCAATGGGTATACGGTAATAGCATTGAGAATAGTGTTGCTTTCATTTTAGGTGGGAGAAAGGCGCTTATTTAAACCACCATTAAATTTAACATTCAGTATAGTTTAGCATAATTTCCCATCAGCCCTTGGCATAATTTGATTTGGATCACTAGTCACAAAGAAAGGTATAGGCCTAGCATTCAATTAGGTATTGCGGACGCATAAATAACGCTGAATGTTTTGATATTAAAGAAGATAGAGAGTAGTTAATGTGATCTACCAGTATTTTAATGATGGAACCGGTAGTTCGAATGGAGGAATTATTGTCTTGCTTAAACAGCTTGTTTACCACCTCCCCATGCTACAATGTAGCTTTTAACAATAGAAATCCTGATCATTTTACTTGTAAATACTTGCATAATTCTGAAAATATTGTATTTTAAAAATGTTTATAAGTTTATTTTAAAACAAAATCCAGACCCCATTACCACACCCCGCCCCTTTTTTTATCCACCCCGACAAAACACCCTGTCTAACAAAGCTTGACGAATAAAACACTTCTTAGGCCTATGTCTACTAAATTCATCAGAACAATAGGGATGCCATAATCAGTACGTGGATGTTTCAGCTTTATAAAGGTATAACCAATTTCTCCCCGGGTATCACCAATTAACTACATGACGCATTGACTTAAAAATAGAAGGTTTCTGTTCCCCAACCTATTTCCAGCAAACCGTAGAAAATGTCATCGCAATTGCTCAATGGGAACTGTGTTGTTGCTAAGGAGTTTCTTTGACTGCTGCTGTGATTTTTCTTCAATTTATGGGGCGGATGCAAGGTGGTGCATACCCTCTCCCCCCTAAATTGTATTTTTTTTTAAAGTAAAAAAAGTAATTGTTGTAATTATTGATATCAATTAGGCCTACCGGTAAGACCTAAAGTATGACTAGGGTGAATCCAGAGATTTCCAAAGGGGAACGGGGTTTGGGGGAGCCGAAATGGGGTCGAAAGTTGGGCCGATCGAGATGACACCACTCTAATAGTTGTGTCCGGACATTCCCCGGGAAATTTTTGTTTTCTAGACGCCCTAAAATAATCTCTGAAGCGTTTTAGGGATCAATTGTTTTCTTTTGACTTTCAAAAAAAAAAAAAGGGGGGGGGGGGATAAGAGTGCAATTTCCGGGCACCTAGATGGCCAAATTCTCAAAATGTTTTCACCTCAGCCCCACCATGGTCGGACTCTCACGCACCCCTACTGCCAAATCCTGCATCCGCCCCAGCTATGATAACTCGAGGTGTGGGGAAGCGAGGGCACAAAATTATGGGTCCTTAGAAGTAAAAGGTTGCCGACCGAGCTTTAGAATACAATAAGTCAATTTAATATTGGAAGTATTTTATTGATTAATTTAATATTCCCTTTGATTTAGGCTAACGATAGTCATTAAGAAACAGTAGGTAGCGGTAGCTTTTACTACGAATAAATGGGAATTCCGAACTAAGCAATGCGCATGCGCAGTTACCAAATAACGTCCGTGAATTAATTTTAAAAAACACAGTGAGCATGCGCTTGGAAGTAAGTGACGTTATCAAGCCATGTCGAGCACGCGCAGTTACCAAAAAGACGTCTCAATAACCAAATAGTGGCTGTTAAGACGTCTTAAGAAGCAAATAGCGGCTGCGAAAAGGGTATGAATACCAAAAAATCGTCCAGGAACCAAACAGCGGCTGCGAAGAGGGTATGAAATAGAAACGGGAAAACATATGGATGGAATAATGAGAACTCGAGTGGGTCGAAAGCCTCTACATTTGGATATCTTTACAGCTAGTTGATCATTGTTCTTTAGGAGGAATTGTAATTAAATTATCGCAAAAAAGTATACTTGGCTCTATCGTCGTACCTACGTACGTAGACCTATGCATTGACAATCCCATAAAAAATAACAACAGAAACTGACGACACAACCTAGGGCTAGGCCTACTCCTACACTACTAGCCAAGTAGTAGAGCCAGGGTATTCCACATTTAATGTCGAAAAATAGTGCCTATATACGCTGAAGAGTGTTAGGATTAGGCTAACTATTATCGAGATATCGTACGACCCATATAAAATAGCCACACACTGGTGGCAGTAGTAGAAATGCCTAGCCACCTATAGTGGGGGAGGGGAATAAATACAAATAAATAAAATACTGTAATATTAAAATTAATATTATTATTATTAATATTAATAACAATAATGGTAAAAATGTGGTTTGGCTCAGTGGTTTTCATTCTGGTTGTTGAACTTGTAGGCAGCAGGAATGCAAACAGCAACAGACCGCATGGATGGCAAAACGAACAAGAGAAAAAACAACGTAAACTAGATTAAGAGATGAGATCGAATATTTATTAGGGAAGAGTGAAATGGCGCAACACAATAAGAAAAAAAGATTGATTTGGCGTCGACATCCTGAAACATTTGTCTAGCAGTGGACCGACAATAGCTGATGATGCAGCCTCTGAAGGTTATGGGCGTGGTCGAGGCTTGAATCGACAGCTTAATTAATCTACCATATGGGATTACAACCCAGATAAAGTGGTGTTGATATAACAAAAGCATGGATAATGTATGTTTGTTAAGTTTTAAATTAATTTAGGAATTTAAAGATAAGAATATTGTTCCATTTATTAAGAAACATAAATTGTATAAAAAGATCTCACATGAGATGTTCATCAATGTTTCTCAAACCTGTTTATTGTTCAGCATAATATACCAGTACATATTTGCTATTGTCAATATGTATGTTGTTAAATAAATAAACAATTAATATCAAAATAGTGATATAAAGTGTTTACCCAAACTTGATCACCATGACAAAAGCATGGATAATCTATGTTTGTAAAGTTTTAAATAAATTTAGGAAGTTTAAGGATAAGAATATTGTCACCAATTATTAAAAAACATAAAGGTATAAAAGATCTCACATGGATATTAATTGATGTCCATAGATGTTTCTCAAACCTGCTTATTGTTCAGCAAAATATACCAGTACATAAGCCCTATGATATTTGCCATTGTCAATATGTTTAAAAACATTAACAGGTATTAGCAAATAAATTATTACATTATAAATATATATGTATAAGTGTGTATTTATGAATATGTTTGTCATCATATGGCTATGTTTTCCGCAGTGATACATTTCAGTCTACATCACAACTCTATCTGGAACACGCCCGCTTCTTCCAAATAAAGAAATTGTTAAAATTTATTCAAAGATCTCTAATCATGTACTTCACAATACCCTCATATAAAAAAAATAAAAAAAATACCATACCTTCAATAATGTAAACTCTACAATATATATTGTTCTATAGGAAAATACAGTTAGGCCTACAGATTTATTTATTGAAACAACTAACTTAAATACAATAACAAAATTTACACATAGGATAAATTTGGAAGTAGCTGTATACACAAATTTAATAAGCAACAGAAGTTGCGGCGTTTTTTTATAGGAAATATTTCTTGTTAACTTTAAACATATAGGCCTAAACCTATTTTAATGAAACTTAATCAGGATTTGAAGTTGTATTGTTTACCTACATGTATTTTATGTCTTGTATCATATTAGATTTTGAGTTCTAGTAATTTTTGTCGCTTTATTGTTTCCTCACCTTTTGTCATAATTGTTTATACTATTTTTTGTAATGTTTTTGGTCGAATAAATAAATTAAAATGAAATGATAGATGTTGATTAAGTTGTCTCAATCGTTTACTATGTTAATCTATAAATTATTGAAATAAATATTAGTTTAAATTGATGATGATAATCGATAAATGGCGTCTCTTCCCTGTTTAATGCGAAGACATCTTTTTGTAGAGGCCTACTGTTGTCTCGGGTCGGGTTGTATAAAGATTAATACAGTATAGGCCTACTAAATAATACATTAGAGTCTACTTTTGTAAGTTCGGTACAGCCCCATGACGCTGCTAGTAATATGAAAGAAGCTAGGGTTTAATAAAATAACATAAAGTTGTTATTACCTGGAAAACGGTTTCGACGGCGCCGCCCTTCCAACAGCTTAGATTTGCAGTTGCGACATGAGTTCACGTGACTACTGGACGCCCTCAGTCTGCCAGCAGTGCTTTTCTTTTAGGGCCGTTCAGAATAACATTTTCGCACAGATCAACAAACCACAGTTTTGTCGGTAACCCCACCCCCTTCCCCTTTAATATAGTATATCCATCATTCATTATAATTGGTTATAAAAATCTATTAAAATCTGAATTTTGCATGTCATGTACACATTAATTTTGTCTACTCCTCATTAATAGCCGTCCAGCTATTGGGACAGTTTGGGACACTCCCACACAAATTTTCTAATGGATTCACAAAGAGGTCCACATTTTTAAAAATGGGTCCAAGTTATGCAATTTTATGCATAAAATGAAACCACTTTTGGAATAATGGTTCCAGATTTCTCATATATATAGCTAAAATGGGTTATGAAAATGGGTCCAGATTTTTCATATTTTTGCATAAAATGGGTCAACTTTTAGGAAAATGGGTCCACATTATTTGAATTTACGCGTAAAATGGGTCCACCCTTATTGTCCCGCACTTTGAAAATCCTGGCTAAGGCATTGATCCCCATAGCAATGTTGGTGCACTTGATGGTTTGACCACTCTTACACATTGGTATGTTCGTGTAGGTAACTTTCAATGGTATTTTCTAAGTGATTTGAAATTGTATTTCAATTTTGTATATAGGCCAACAGTTTTGTAACTGTTATTGAACGCACCACTCTAGTGTGCCACCGTTCCCAGAGATGGTGCGTTTACCAACAAAAATATGGTAGGCTATAAGCGTTGAGGCTAAATTCTTCATGTTATTTAAAAATTCATAACTCCATAACGAAGAGTCGTATCACATTACTTTTTCTGGACAATGTTCTTAAAAGACAATTATACACACTATATGATTTAAAAAATCTCTGAGTTCAAGATTAGAAAAGAGCGCCTATCTAAATAGTATTAAAAGACCACTGCACAGTAGCTACGAGTACGTACAGAAAATATAGCTAGGCCTGCTAGTACTAGTAGTGTAGTAGTACTATTTTAGTTACCGATGACTTAAGGATTTCTCTTACTGTATACCACACTGGTTACTTTGGAGATACACTTGGACGGGACCCTAGCTAGAGGCTTGCAACAAACCTTTTTTTTGCCATGGGCGTCGATCGGTGGGGGACAGGGGGACAAGTCACCCACTTTTCAAAGGAGCCCACCATATATTCACCAATCTTCTATAGTTAAAACCCCACTTTGCAAAGCGAGTGGAAAGAACAACAACAATTACGAATGACTGTCATGAATTTTGTCTATTCACTTGTGCTCTGTTCAAAGTGCGGTGCGTGTAAAAACGCAATTGTTTGTACATTTCGTAACCATCTCAGTAACCACTCCATAGATTTTTATGGATGCAACGATTATCTCTCTAATTTATTATGAAAACAATGTACTGTACATTGTTAAAGTTGTAAGCGTGTAAACCTATTAGGCCAACATAGTTATACTCAAAAGTGCACAATAAACGATTTATTCATTTTGTTTCAGTTTCAGTTTATTTTCCAAAAACATTTTCATTATATTGATCAAAGGAAGGATGACCAACAAAAGAGCAAAGCTCGTATAGCACTGGCCACCTAAACAAAATTATTGATAATTACACGGACAAACATAACGTGGTACAAGACAACAGTGACAAAAAAAAAAACATTTTGGCAGGATATGAACTAAATAAAAGTATGCATGAATTTAAATATATAAAGGATCCTTATTGATATGTTAACAACAAATAATTTTTATACATCATTTTGAACATTTTGACAGATATTGAATTACGAATAGAAGCATCAATATTATTCCATAGAATAGGACCATAGAATTGTGTATATTATTAAGGCCCGTATACACAGTGTTCAATATTATATGCATACATAGATTCCTGTTTTTCCTAATTTCAAAAAATTATAGTTAGTCAATTAAATTTTATATAGCAGTTCAACAATGATTATACAGCCTTTGACACGGATTGGTCTGTCTATTTCGATTTATTTAAGTCGAATTTTAACTCCGATATTGCTTGTCGCATTTCGCCATGACATCATGCAGGGGCGGATCCAGTGGTGGGGGGGGGTCACTGGGGCCCGTGCAACCCCTCCCGTCAGTCCTGCCGAAAAAATATAAAAGAGGGATAAAAAAAAATTGAGAAGAGTTGTTAAAGGGAGGAAAGAGGGAAGAAAAAGGAAGTGTACCTATGAGTTCAGTGGCGGTTCCAGCAGTGGGCGAATGGAGAGCTCGATTATTTTCCACTTACTAATTTTGAATTTTCTAATGATTGACAACGTTACGCTATATTTCCGACGCTGATTCTTCCCAACGATTTAATAAACTAGGATGTAAAAAAGGCCAAAAGATGGAGACCTATGACTGGATTATTTAACCGCATTATTACGGAATGTGTGTACCCAGCTATAACAGTTATCCATGCTTAGTGGCGTACGGTAACGCATATGCAGGGCCACCGACCCTTAGGGTTCCTTGCGGTGCCCCTACCCAGGGTCTTCGCTCTATGATACCCTCCTAAAAGGGCTTTGTTTATACATAGCAGCATGTGTTTCTGACATTGACTGTAAGACATATATCATATTAATCCAGTGGGAAAGGGGGGGGGGGGCAGCCAGCCAGGACTCCCACATTTGTCCACATTTAAATAAAAATGGTGATAAAATATTCAAATTTTAAGTCTGAATGAGTGTCATTTCCGGGCATCTAGGACTAATCATAATTTGCTTTGACTATAGGTCCTTAATTAGACATTTGCGACGCCCGTGTGAGAAGGGGTGTTTAAGGGAGGGGGAGCAGATCTCCCGTCGGGAAAAGTCAGTAATTTGTTGAGGAGACTGCTTTGAAAAAGTATTTTTGTCATCTGAGAGTGCCATTTCCGAGTATCTAGAAGGGCATATTCTTAAAAGTTTCTCGTCTCAGCCCCAACCATGGTAGGGCTGAGGTGGGTGTGCTCTTCACCCCTCCCCTTCCCCCTCCCACTCTTAGAAAATATCTGGATCCGCCCCTGTCATGACAATGATAAATTACGTAAATCACCTTTTATGTTTGTGAAATAAAAATGCTCACTAATGCTGTGTGCACTTTCTATCTCCTTAGTCCTGTTTTATCGTAAGTTAGACGTCAGGGCGGATTCCGCCGGCCCCCCCCCGCCGGCCCCCCCCCCCCTTGTAGGAGGTAAAAAAAAAGAAAAACAAAAAAATGATAGCCCACAACGCCTCAAATGTTATTTTAGGGCGTCTAGAACACAAAAATCTCCCCCCTCCTTTTCGGACATCTCTGGATCCGCCTCTGGACGTGGCAGTATTTCCACTCACAATAGTGTAGTTGCAATACAGTACTACTAGCACAAAAGCGAAATTTAAAAAGAGGAGAAAAGGAAAAACCTCTTGATTGATTTTAAAAGTACTTTACATGCAAAGATAGAATTGAAGTAACTTTTTAAGTTTATCCATGAAGGAACATAATTTATCAGTTGTTTTTCATGGTTCGAATATGTTATACGTCACAATTTAATCAGTAATAAATTGTTATTTTCATGAATGTTAGTTTGCACGAAATATGTAAGCGGGCATGATTATGATTACTAGGATAAATTCAAAACAAAAATGTTATGATGAATATTTCAGTGGCAGATTCAAGGGGCCCAGCCGACCCACCCTCCCTAATTTTTCTCCAAATTTAAAGGTGGAGAAAAAAGAAAATTATATTCAAATTTAGGTCTGAGAGTGCCTTTTCCGGCCAACTTGTGGTGCCACATCATAAATTTCCTTATCTCAGGCCAGCCATGATGGGGCTGAGGTGGTCTACACTCCATCTGTAAAAGTCCCTCCATGGGCCCCAGTATTTAGAATTGCTGGACCCGCCAGCGAACTGTACGAAGGCGAGTGTGATGGAATTGTGAAGATTGGTATAAGTATGGATTTGGTGGTTCTTGGAGAATTCTTTCAAAATGGCGTTAGGGACGGATCAGGTGTTGACGAGGAACATAAAAAAAACAAACATTAAACTTAGATAAATCATAAATAGCCCACGGTTAACCAAAAGATCAGCCGCGTGGTCGCGACATCCAACTCCAGAAATTGAACGGATTTAGGTGTATCTTGTCTGCGTTGCCCATGGCAAGAATCATCACGCAGGGCAAGGTAAAACTAAGCTGGAGTAGAGAATTTTTTTAAATGGACTTAGAAACATGGAGCGGAGTTTGGTGATAATGCCTGTATTACAGGAGATAGTCTTGGAAATGTTAAAGATATGATCCCCAGTTGAGATTTTGGTCAATGAAACCCCCAGGAATTTTGTTGTCGCCACACGGATAATTAAAGAACCATTGAAAGAAACATCACAAGACATTGAATGATTTAATAAAAAACATAAAATAGGTTTTTCCTCTGTTTCCCGTACACGAGATGCGTTGCATTTCGTATAGATCTCTCTTTTTACAGTTCAGTTTCTGTTGTCACAGAGGAAGCATTCATTTCTAGCACATTGACGATTGACCCGACGTTGCCTTAAATATTTGTTAACATTGTTTTTGCATTAACAAAGAAAGTGGTATCAAATCCTCCATGTTCACACCATGTTTTCTTTCCGTCTACCCCATACTTCTCTTTCCATTATTTTGGTCTAAACAGTGGAGTTTAGTCATTTTTGACCATCTGTTCAAATCGTGTTTTAGATTTGATGTACTGTATACTTTTTTCTTTTCCATAATGATATACACGCTAGCCTGCATTCTGTGTATGTCATGTTGTATTATGTCTATTTCTCTTCCTCATTGTTCAGTGGAGATATTTTCCTCATCACCATCACTAGGTCGTTGACAAGTATGATTGAATTTAGTTTTGTGAACTTTTATGTAGTGTGAATGTACTATCTTCACTTTACCATCCTACATCCTTTTCATTCTTACCAAACTATCCACAACTGGCAGTCTGTTATATTATTACTACAGTATATATACTTTAACCTGTATGCTTTTGTGTATGTTAGCTATCATCTTGAATTTATGCATCACATCCTCTTCATTTCTGTTGTTAAATAAAATTTTACAGTACTAACAGGAAAATATCATCCATATATCTTTAGTACATCCTGTACTGGATCACTCTATTTTCTATTAAAAACATTCTGTTCCACCAAACCATAAATAGGTTAACAATTTCTGCTGCTGAACATACAGTATGCCTAATAGCACCTCCCTTTTGTTTGTAAATACGTTGATTGAATTGGCACATGTGGTTGCTCAGTGTTTACAACCATACACATTCTGATAGTAATGATAATGATTTCTCTTATCTCATCTTCCCTGGGACGTAAGTTAGTTCTCACCCATGGTTTCATCGTTGATATTACATCCAGAACCACACAAGGTGGGCGGTCTCCCAACTGTTCGCACCCTCTTTGGACAAAACTTTCGTAACTTTTCTGGTATAGTGATTAGTGAAGTAGTTTCCATGTACATAAGGAATAGTGATAATTAAAGTTGCTGAATATAATTTGGCTTACACCAATTAGTGCACAACTCTTTTCAATGTACAAAAGTAATGTAATGTAATACTATACATGATGTAACATCAAATCTTAGAGAAGAACTAAATAATAGGTAAATTTTAATTACAAATTATAGTATTATACAAGGATGATTGTATTCTTAATTTAAAGCTAAAATATTTTTATTCCATTTAATGTTATTATACTATTTGTAATGTTAATGGTTATTTCATGCTTCAGTGAATCAGAATGTCGACTATCACTGTTGAAACACGTTTGAATCACACCTGTCAATTGATACTGGCATCACTTGCATTGTTTACATCATTCATAATCATTGTTTTTTCATCATTTCTACATCATTATTACATAATCTGTTGCATTCAGCATGCAAAAATTTGAACAATTAAAAGTTACATAACATCCTATACTGATTTAATTTGTAATCATATTCTTTTGAAGTCGATTTGCATCCTACACCCTGGGTTAAGAGTCAAAATATGGATAAGGTGCCATGACCAACACACATCCTTTGACCAAAGAAAGCCTTGCATTTAACATTTTGGTGTTGATAACATTTATACAATAACTGATGTGTATTTAGATATTGTACAATCTCATTTCAGCTTTCTTGATGGCAATATATATTTTATACAAGAATATAAAAATTAATAAATTATATAAACCACTTTTGCTACACCGCCCTCAAAATTCTCATGATTCTCGAAGTTGTACAGCTATTATCATTTTAGCTCTCGTCATGATGCTTCTTAAGTTTCAAGATGACATGGCACAAGCGAGATGGTATTGCTCCTGTTATCTCATCATAACTGTAAAGTCAAAAGAAAATTTATTAGTAATGATAAAAAAGAATTAAAAAAAAAAACAACACTCATCAAACAAGCATTTTGCAGGTAATCTAGTTAACATTATCTGCAAAATTTTTGAAAAATTGATGTCTTGTGTATCAGGTGAAGTTGAGAACTTACATGATCTTTTTATATTTTGTAATAAGTAGAGTCTATTCCCCAAAAAACTGTGTACGCCTCATTTCCCCGCCCCCACCCCAACAGCAAAATTTCAAGGCAAAAGAATCATTTTTAAGTAGTTTAAAATCACCTCATATCACCTTAGCACAGGGTAATATCTGTCTCTTATACACATCTAGATGTGTATAAGAGACAGCCATTTGCCTTTGGAACTTGGTACCTAATCAAATTCAGGAAATTAATAGCATGTTAATCTTTAAAAAGAAACTAAAGTTACATCTGTATTTAATATTATCAAATAGGGACAGTGGAGTGTCTACTTTCTTCCAGAGGCAAATGGTTTGTTTAGAGTTTAAATTTTTCATATATATTTTTTGTGTTTGTGTTAGTTTATTGTTCCAGGAAAGAAAGAATATAATATAAAAATATTAAATGGACTGAGTAAACTTACTGTGAAACTGGTGTTTTAAGTAGCTTCTCAACATTACGTAAATCAGTAGATGCTGGAAGTCCAAATGCATCCAGCACATTACAGAGGTAATCTGAAAATAAAAAGGTAACAAGCACATGTTATAAAAATATTTTTAAGTACTGTAGATAATAATTTACTATACAAGGTCCCTACTCTACCACAAGAATCTCTGTCTCACCAATGTCAGTGATAAGCTGCCTTGTTGAGTGTGATGTAAGTTCCTCAATTTTCAAGATGGCTTCCACATACGTGTACATGACGCCACGTGCAATAGCTCCCAGCCAATAGTCAGCAAGATGCTCAACTTCAAGACCACCTGAAAGCAATAATATTCATAATAATAATAATAATAAATATGATTAATTGTAAGACACATACTTAACATAAATACATTATATTCTGTTATATTATAATTTGTATCTAAAAAAAGTTCAACAATAAAAAATAACAATAAATCCTAGCATTAAAAAAACTAAACCTATTTTAAACTAATCATATTTGGCAGTTGAATCTATAGAGCTTAAATGATGGTGCCAAAAATTCCCCGACAAGGGATCATAAGTCCTTAACAAGGGTACAAATTCACCTCATTACCACCATGTTTAAAGCAAATTTTTAGAATAGGTACCTCTAGATGCCCAGCAATGGCACCCTCAGACTGTAAAAATATTTTTTAAAGCAGTGTTTTCAGTCAAAACAATTGGAGGAGGGGGACGGGGGCTGTTAAGACCTCATCTGCCTCTTGTTCAGGTATCATGTTCTTTTGTTTTTTGTTGATGTTGAGTGTTCATTTACCCTCTCAACAGTGATTGCTAAGATAAGACAACCAAAAGTGGATCCCAGCCTTAGTTGCTGGCTGCTCAACTGGATACAGTTTATCATTATACCCAGGACATACTAAGCATCAATGCTACAATAATATTATTATAAAAAATAATAATAAATAATAATACCCAAATATTTTTGTAGTGCCATTTTCAAAGAATGATCAAAGGCAGAGAGCGTTATTACCCCTGGTCACTGGATAACGGCAAACAAGCTTTCTCTACTCCCCGGGGAGTATACCTAGTAATTCGCTACTTGTTTAGTGCACGAAACTAGAACATTCAATGCCACAACATCCTATCAGGTACCCATTTATACTCCTGTGTTGAGAGAGACAAGCGTAGATAAAGGGCCTATCCCAAGGACACAAGCGACTTGCACAGCGAGAGTTTCAAACCCCTGACCTCAAGGTTGGGATTCCAAGCCACAACCGATGCGCCAACCGCTTCTACATGTATTACGTTACAAAGTACCTTGCTCAGGTGGGAAGGGCAGACGACCCCTCTCCAGTGCCTTTGCCAAAGCAGGGTTCTCTTGTGATGTGAATGGTTCAAGTTGTTGTGGCAACGTCATCAAATATTGGCCAATCTAGAAAGCGTAAAACAAGACAGATAAAAAAATATGAAAATAATAATCATCAGTTCCTATATAGCTCTGCTTTTATCTGGCTAAATCATGCTAATTGTTATTTACTCCTATGGTTACAAGATTCGGCCTAAAAAAATAAATTGTTTGTTTGCCCTTTAATGCTGAAAATTGCCGATGCAAAAAAGTTTTTTTTTTCTTTTCTCCTGTCACCAAAATTAACATACAAAATTGCAATGCTTGCAATTAAGCTTGTTTCACTATTTATTTTTCAAAGGGTATTCATGAGACAGAATAAAAATGCATTTCGGCCTAGAATGGCGAGACCTTACATCAGACAACAAATTCAGGTAACTTTCATGTGCAAAATGGAGAAAAATAAAGATCGTTTTTTTTTTTAATTTTTTAACAAAAAAATCGAAAAAAAAAACTTTTTCAAAAACGCTGCCCCTATTTTTCCGCGGGCTAGGGGCGGGCGCTGGAGGGCAAACAAATCATTTTTTTAAAGTATTTATCCCATTCTCTGAGTGTTGTAATCCCCGTCCAGACTATCAAATTTTATTAGACAAAAACATGTGACATGCCTAAATATGGTCATGATGACATCACATCATGACCATATATAGGCACATCATGACTAAATATGGGCACACAACAGTCTTTTGTCTAAGAAAATTTGATAGGCTGGACAAAGCTTTACTCATGTACAGTAGCTGCAACTTCAGTCCTAGTCAGTGGGGTATCTAACAGGGAAGGTGCAAGACCCCAGAAAATTTTAGGCCCCACTGAAAATTTTCAGAGCTTTGTATTTGAACTCCTTAAAAAAAGTACAAAAATGAATAATTAAGAAAAAGAATAATGATTGTTTGACTAAAATTAAATTGTTAAATACCAAAACAAAATCTTAGCAACATTATGACATCAACCATTACCTTGGTGATGTATTCCTGCGGTGAAAGACTAAATGTTGGCAGTTCTGCCGACAGTACACCGCCCTCTGACATCCAGACCTAAAATAGGATACATAATAAAATTAAAATATTTTCAAATTCTTTTTTGAACAGTTTAAAATCTAGAAACTGTAACCGTAACAACCATATTATATGCCAGATGATTAATAATAATAGTTGCAAGAAAAATGTTTTCCCAAACCCAAAAAAAGTGAAAAATCGGTAATTACCTCCATGTAAGAAATCTGCCTGAGCTGTTTCTCCAGTTGACTGAACACCAGCTCAAACGCAAACTTGTGAGCATGCTCATTGACCTTCCGAAGCCCTTTCATTGGCTCTTCCATAATCGAACTGTTCTCTGAAATGAGAAAGAAATTAAAGTACTGTATGACAAACCATAGTTTGGGTTCATAAACTAATTAATGAAGTTCAATAAGAATTATAAAATACCGTAAATGCTCGAATGAGCTTATCATATTTTTTTAGGCTTCAGTGCGGCACTTATCTGAGAGGGGCGCTTATTCGAGGGCACTTATAAAAAATATTGGCGTGACGCTCATGGCCGTTCCCATGTTACCTATCTCACGTATTCCTGTAGTTCAGAGGCATAGGTCCTATGTTATCATATATAAACATTTATAAAGAAATGCTTGTGCCTACATTGTGTTATTCATTCATTTTAACACCGTAGACATTGTATTTAAAACCCAGTTTCTCAAAGTGTTTCATTACGCACAGGGTAATATACTCACGATTAAGCACTGTGGCATTTATTCCAGAGTAGAGCTTATTAGCGAAAAAAAATTGGGTTTGGTTTGGTGCTTATTCGAGCATATACGGTACTAGCCATTCAGCTGACACTCGTCAGCTTCCATGTCCAGGCATGGCCTTATCTCTGAGAATGGTTTTGGATTTGGAGGATGTGACCACAAGCATGTTACATATAAGTTCCCTCGTTTGTGTGACTACAATTTATTTTTTTCACTGAGTTTGATGTTGCTATAGATTTTGGGGAAATACATACAACATGAATGTGTATTTCGTAGTGTCACAAAATGCCAGATTTAGAATTTTATAAGTTTAGATACAGGTCTGCAATACCCTGTTTTAGGCTGTGAATTAGCCGTAGGAGTTCCTGGTATTTGCTTGGATTCTGTGCTAGCATGTAGTTGTAGTCCGTGAATGCACTGCCAGTCATTGCGCTTCAAGAAAACAAAGAAATATAATACCAAATATACAGTATAATGTTTAAATATAGAAATACAGGTATATTATGAATGGAAATCAATTATGAAGAATATTGTAATCGTATCAAATGAACTAGTATTAATGATATTATCATTTTCATTATCATTGTCATTGCTGCCACCATCAGTCCTCATCGTCATTGTCGTCGTCATCATCATTATCATTATAAATACACAAGGCCTCTTTCATAATCCATTGCACAATCTGAGAGCGATCATATTGGCTATCAACAAAGTAATTTTAAATTTGTTTTGCTGAACCAAAGCTAGGCTCAATACCTCTGGGTTTTGTGTGGTAGAGCTGTGGGGGAGAATGCCTCACATTGGTGGGCAGCTGTTGAGCCTAGAATGGTACCACTTGCAGTCAGCTCAAACTCCTCCATTCCAAGCAGTAATTCACCTAAAGAAAAGAGTGAAAGTTTGATTATTGCATACAAAGCACTCTCTGGCTTAGAAAACATTTACCACAGTTCCCTAACAACTGAGCCAAGTGTTCCAAACACTCAGGCCTTGGCTCAGTTGGCAAACCCACTGACACTGCCCCTGGACTATGGTATATGAAAGTGAACAGTTTAACAACTTGAGTCAGCTCTATTTCTTTGTCAAAAAAGACATGCTAAACAAAAAACGTGCTGCATCCGCTAACCAGAAAGCACTAGTAATAAATAAGCAAATTTTAAACAGTTTGTGATTCATTAACAGCTGTGCTTAAGTCTACAAGATCTTAAACTATCTGCAGCAATTTAAACTTTAACAATGTTAGAAGCAGCACTGGTTTTTCCTTCAAAAAAACACTATCAATATTTGTTTTCGTTATGGCATCTTCATTTTATATTTGACTACATAATATTAAATCCAGGATGATATATGTTTCCTTGATAAGTTATTTCAACATTTATATGCAGAATTAAATGTTTTTGGAAAATTATTTGGGTATCCCTGCTTTATTAAATTGCACAACACCAAAATTAGGAAAAAAGTAGGTCAGGAGAAAACAATAGTATGAAAGTAGCCATGTCAAGACAGCCTATGCTGAATCCTTTAACAACAAGAGGAAAAGTGGTCGTCCCTACATACGTTAGGTTGACCAGATTCGGAAAGATACTGATGGTCCCTTAAAAAAAAAAAAGAAAGATGCACGAAAGACCCAAAATGGCAATACTGGGTAAAAACTCAGAGAGCAAAGGGCAAACATTGAGTAAAACAGATAAGTAAGTATAATTTAGAATGCCATCTTACCGCATGTCTGTATGATTTTCAGGGCGTGCTGGAACCTAGTCCAATCTTCCCCGAGTTCTTTTGAATTGGATGAAGCTGCTTCAACATCAGCCTGTAAGTTACTGATAGCCGCGTTGAAGGAGTTGCAATACCGACTGAACAAACACTGAATTATAAACATAGACAAAATTAATGTTTTCAATAAAATGATTTACTAATACATCCATTTGGTAAGCAAAAATTTAAGGAAAGAATTATTCTAAATATCAACTTTTATAAAGTACTACCATTAAAACAACAGATTTGAAAATATAAACAATATCCTTTTTTTTTAGAATTATTATATTATTACTGAGATTCAAATATTTTATTGAGTTAATTATGAATCTTGAAATATGAATATAAATTGATATTTCTCAGACTCAAGGGGTTCCAATTTGGAAGAAGCCACATGCTTCCAGATGATTGTTAAAATTAGCTTTCTTAACACATTTAATTTTATTTTGCTGCACATCGTGCTTTCCCAGAAGATAATACAGTATTACAATATCCTCAAATATTATGAATTTGCGGGAAATGGGTTAGTTTATAGGGGATGTTTACTTTCTTCCACAGTGTAGGAGGCCATGCCGATTTCCGGGACACTGCCAGGAAATGCTCTGTGACTCCAAGCACCTGGATAATCCAACAGAATTGTACAAGTTGGTCAGAATATTATGAAATTGATATAAAGTAAAGTCATTTATAACATAATCATTAGAAATATATTTTAGTATGTGAAAAAAAATTTAATCTGACCTTGAGTGCCTGGATAAGTCCAAGAGAATCATATCCGTTGGTCAAAACCATGCATCTATCTACCGCGTCATTGGTCAGTTTGAAAATACTGGTGACCGAATTAGACAGAAGCTGAGCACAATCTATTAAATCACGCTTTTCCTGTTGTTAAAATATAAAAGAAATTGCAACAATAGCAAAAAACAACTGCATTGATAACAGTAAAAGCATTGATGGTTTAAGTACCTAACCCTGTCATGTTGCAATTGAAGAGAATTCAAAATTACCAAAAGTTACTAGGAAAATCAAAAAGCCCATGATTTGGCCATTTATATGGACATGATGATGTCATATCACACCCATATATGGAAACATCACAGATATTGAAAAGTGTGCACAGAGCCTGATAGGTAGCATTTAACTTTTAATAACAATAATAATAATAATAGCAATAATAACGACGACGACGACAATAGTGTAGTTTTACAGTATATAGCGCCATATCTATCTAACATAAGATGCTCAGGGCGCTTGATATGTGGACTAGGAACTCGATCAGTGACTTTCTTCACCCCTAAGGGTCCCTTCATGTCTGTGTTACCCAGTAGCCCAGTACCAACTCTCATCATCCACTACAGGGGCTCAGGGGCTGTGACTTAATAATATAAAGAGGAACAATAATTCAAATAAAAATAATGCAGGTTATTACAAATATAGCATTAGTATGCCAATACGATGGTCAATATAAAAATACAGACAACAGGAAACATTTTATTTTTATTATTATTTATTCATTTGGCATTACTGAACGGGGGACACTAAATCAAGAAAACCTACTGTCGCCAAAAGGATGTGCGACTCTTATTTGAAATGGATCAATATATTTCTAAAAAAATGAAGGAACATGTTCCCAATTTTCACAATAAAACATCTTCTATAAATACTGTACATATACAATATGTACCATAAAATATCATTAAATAATAAATAATTAATAACTAATTTATATATATTTAAATAATGTTTTAACGTAATAATAAATAACATAATAAATACTTTAGTTAATAATTATAAATTAATAGAAATTTTTTATAATAAATAACATATTTTCAATCCCACTACACATAGCAAAATCTTACCAATTGCAAGCAGCTCAGTTCCTGACATAAGTGTTCCTCTTCCATTGCACCATACCGAAGGAGGTACGGCAAATAAGGTGAATATATCGCCCTCACAAGTTCAAAAACCTCTAAGCCAAGACTTGAATCTATAAAAACGTGGATAAAGATGGATATATAAATAGAAGTAGAGGGATTAAAGAACTGAATGATATTTTTTTTTTAATATAATCTCTTCTGCTTCAGGAATTATCCACAGGCCTTGGTAGACTACATACATATTTTTTTTTTATTAAAGTAAACTATTGATACCACCGATAATGATAATGAAATAAATAATAATAATAGTAATTACCTTTTTTGGCTGAAGTTATTGCACTGTCCATGTTTTTTGCAAATCTATCTGTTGTCTGAAATTGAAGAATATATTCACAATTATTTAATCATTTAAAATCATGTACAAGGTATAAATTGTGAGTGATTAAGTTTCAAAAATTACCTTTTTAAGTTCAATCAAATTCAATAAGGTATCCTCTTCTAGAGTAGTCTCCATGCAGGCTGGCAATGAGGGTTTCAAGCTGTTTAACGTCTGGGTAAGGAGTTCAACAACCACCTTGACTGGGTTGGGAAACACCTGGTCACACCATTGCACCTCTGCATGCCAAGTGGCTAGCAGGTGGTCGTAAAACATAGGCAGCCACTCAACTAAGGACTTCGCACTGTTCACCTCCTGCAACTTCTTCCAGTTTTGGAGTAAAGAAGACTAGAAATATTGGCAAGAAAAGCCTAATTAATTAAAAAATGAATATGAACTGACAATCCCTTCAAAAACAAAAAAATCTGAATATTTTTAGTAAAATAACATGTTGTGTGCACAATAACACACATACTGTAAAGCTGGACCAACTAATGAATCTTTCTGCTAAGCCACGCCCCTTAGATACTGTTACTAAAGTCCCACAAAAGAACAGTGTAAAAAGCACCTGCAAACATACGCATCTGTGGGCCAACACATGTGTTTATGAGACACGCCTATTCCTGGCCCTGTTTTGATTGGACAGTTAAGTTTGATTGACACCTTGTAAAGGTCCACTGTACTTGAAATAATTACAATTTGTATTTTAACATCTATGCATTCTTAGGCCATCTTCTGCATTACAGAGGGCCTTCAATATTCTCTCAAATCTTTCATAAATAGTATATAAGTTTTAACGAAGCAGCTACATGATGGTACCTTATGACATTTGTGGTAATAGTTGTATAACTGTGGAAGGCGATCCATATCTTTGAAGATTGTCACATACTGTTGCGTTGCCTCTAAAACACAAACACAATAAATACTTAAAGTGAGATGGCAAGATTAAAGTCACGTAGCTGTTAGTGTGGTCAGGATGAGACATGGTCAAAATAGTCTTTCTGATGACTTAAAAAATCTTCACACTGCAGTGTGCCAAAATGAGTGATAACCGATAATAAAGAAGGTGATGAAGATGAATATGGTGGTGATGGTAATGGTAATGATCATATGGGTCTAGCACAGCCAAAACCAGGTCCAGTGACAAAAACAACAATTCTACGTACGGTACGGGACCGGAGGTCGTACGTGAATCGGGGGATTCCTAAAATTGAGGTTGGGTTAAATTTTAGGTAATCTTTGACCTAATACGACATAACACTCAATAACGTATGTTATGAACGAACGAATGATGTTACCTAGGCTAGACCGAGCCTCTAGGCCTACGAATAAAACCATATGTTTAGTGTTTTTATTAATCACTTTACGATGTCATAGTAAAGTGTTCAAATAAAACCATGTCTCTAACTTGTATAATTCATCACTTTATATCTTTTATTTAACTACAGAACATGAAAATATTGTAAGATTACCTACAGTATATGACAAATGTATAACTTCATGCTTATTCTAAACAACAGAGCTGCAGTGTTGTCTGGGCTGAGACAAACTAAAACCATGTGCACTGCACTGGGTGAGCTAACCAATTAGCATTCGTGTAAAAAATAATGCCTACTCAGCTTCGTGCAGAAAATTCAATCAGACAAGTTTTCCACACGAAACTAAGGAGGAAAGCAATTATTTTGCTCAGTTCACATGGTTTTAGATTATAACAGCCCGGTATTAGACCCAATCAACGTTGCTGTTTAATGAAAATACTTTGCATATGGTTTGTTTATTGTGATATTATTGAAATAATAAGCAGACAGAAAGTAACAAATCTATTTTTACTTATAGTGGCTCAGAAAAGGGACGTTTGTTTTGAATATTTTCAGGGTTTTTGATGACGTCATCGCCGATACATATAACTGGGGTACGTAAAAACGAGGTTCTACTGTATAAGCTTGAAAATGGTAGGTCATTTGATAAAATAGATTTACCATATTGCCAAAGTTATTTATGAAAGTATTACAGCTTTGTTGTACTAAAGTACACAATACTGTCACATTCTTATGCTAATGATTAATTTAGCGACAGTACGCTGGTTTTGGGATGACAATTCATAATTATATTCATAATGGAGATGATTATGAAGATAATAAAAAATATGATGGTGGTGGTGACAACAAAGTTGATGAGGATGCTTACCATGCGAGTGAGTGTTAAATGCACCAACTAGTTGTGGACTAAGCATAGCCTCTAGACGATTCTTGAGTGTTTCAAGGTGTTGACATCGTTCCTCATAATCTCCACAATGGGCAAGCATACTCTGCAAGCAATCAAATGATATTTATAAAAGGGTAAACTTAAAAACATACTTTACTTACTTCATTCAGACTTCATATTGAATTCAAAGTGGTTTTTTTTCAGGTTCTAATTTACCGTGTTCTACGAATATCAGGTTTTCGATTACTAGTTGTTAACAAACAACAATTCAGGTTCAAATTTACCGTGTTCTACGAATACCAGGTTTTCGATTACTATTTGTTAACAAACAACAATTAGACAAGTGTCTACCTCGTATTTCCACAGGTGCACACTGATGTAAAAAGTTTCTGCCTAGAAATGAAATACTGTACTCCTCGAGGTGCGAAGCATACAAATTTGCCTGACTTTTGCACAAGGTCAAGCAAAAGTGCAGCTTGGATATAGGAAAATAACATATAATACAGTAAACTGTTATTTTTTATATTTATGCCATGACCTTAGAAAAGTTTTTATTTTTTTATGTTACGAGTTACAATGATGACATCACAATTGACTCTAAATAATAAATATATTGTAAATACTATTTTATGTATTAAATTTCATGCAATGATATTTAATTGTTATTACATATATTTCTATGGTTAGTGCTTTTCTTACCAAGCTTTGTTGCATAGCACCTAGCTTACTTGCAATCTGGAAAGAAGAGATACATATATTAAATTGTGAAAAAGAAATAATTCAAAATATAATTCATAAAAAATATCTAATATTAAGAGGAGTTGTAGTTAGATGTAGTTAAAAAATGCTTTGCTGCTCAACTAAACCACCTTCTCCATGACATCCTCTACAACAAGGAAGCTCCTTCCAGGTTACGCTCACGGAGGCCCCTGCGCCCACATATGGAACGACTAGCAGCATTGGCAAGTGCAGTACCAACTGTTCCTGAGCGATTGCAGCCATACATCGATTCCTGGTCAGCCAACCCACCTGGCAACCATCTTCGTAGGAAGTCTTGGGTGCAACTAAACAGGCTACGATCAGGCGCTGGATGTTTTGTATCCAATATGAAAATGTGGGGCATTGCAGAAAGTGATCTTTGTCCTTGTGGGCACATACAGACTTATGAACATGTTATTAGCGAGTGTGCTGTGATTGGACCTCCTTGCCCACTATCTGAGGTTGACAACCCTCAACTGGTGGAATACCTCAACAACTGCCAATTTTGAACTGATTTGTTGTACATGATGTAGTTTAACATACGAGATAATAATAATAATAAGAGGAGTTGTGGTTAAAAATGCTCATTTTACAATTCCACAGTCCTGGATTCAGCTCCTACTTTCCTCATTAGAACAAGTTACAGCTGAATTTCTAAAGCACGACAAATGCATGGGCCACTGTGAATCCAGTGGTGGTGCAAGCAGAAATGGGCATAGGGCTTAGGTGCTTTAGGTGTCTTTTTTTTTTTAATTGTCAGCAACTGATATTGAAAGATTTCACTTACAGCATTGACATCCTTCGAGAGGAACACTTCATCGACATCTACCATCAACGTTGTCCAGTTATCAGCTTGCTGGAGAGCCTCTGAAGCAGCCTGCATCCTGGACTTGACATTATCAATCTCGAGCAACATCTTCATTGATTGAGATGTGTCCTCTTCAACCTTTAGGTGAAAAAAACAGAATGAAAAAAAACTTTTATAAAAATATGTGAGCAGTAGCATGGGGAGTAGAATTGTAGCTTGGGGAGTGGAGCTCTTGATTAGTGAGAGCTCTGTAGGTTGATGTGGAGTGGAGCTCTTGATTAGTGAAAGCTCTGTAGGTTGATGTGGAGTGGAGCTGTTGATTGGTGAGAGCTCTGTAGGTTGATGTGGAGTGGAGCTGTTGATTGGTGAGAGTTCTGTAGGTTGATGTGGAGTGGAGCTGTTGATTGGTGAGAGCTCTGTAGGTTGATGTGGAGAGGCGCTGTTGATTGGTGAGAGCTCTGTAGGTTGATGTGGAGTGGAGCTGTTGATTGGTGAGAGCTCTGTAGGTTGATGTGGAGTGGAGCTGTTGATTGGTGAGAGCTCTGTAGGTTGATGTGGAGTGGAGCTGTTGATTGGTGAGAGCTCTGTAGGTTGATGTGGAGTGGAGCTGTTGATTGGTGAGAGCTCTGTAGGTTGATGTGGAGTGGAGCTGTTGATTGGTGAGAGCTCTGTAGGTTGATGTGGAGTGGAGCTGTTGATTGGTGAGAGCTCTGTAGGTTGATGTGGAGTGGAGCTGTTGATTGGTGAGAGCTCTGTAGGTTGATGTGGAGTGGAGCTGTTGATTGGTGAGAGCTCTGTAGGTTGATGTGGAGTGGAGCTGTTGATTGGTGAGAGCTCTGTAGGTTGATGTGGAGTGGAGCTGTTGATTGGTGAGAGCTCTGTAGGTTGATGTGGAGTGGAGCTGTTGATTGGTGAGAGCTCTGTAGGTTGATGTGGAGTGGAGCTGTTGATTGGTGAGAGCTCTGTAAGTTGTTGTGGAGTGGAGCTGTTGATTGGTGAGAGCTCTGTAGGTTGATGTGGAGTGGAGCTGTTGATTGGTGAGAGCTCTGTAGGTTGAATGGAGTGGAGCTGTTGATTGGTGAGAGCTCTGTAGGTTGTTGTGGAGTGGAGCTGTTGATTGGTGAGAGCACTGTAGGTTGATGTGGAGTGGCGCTGTTGATTAGTGAGAGCTCTGTAGATTGATGTGGAGTGGAGCTGTTGATTGGTGAGAGCTCTGTAGGTTGATGTGGAGTGGAGCTGTTGATTGGTGAGAGCTCTGTAGGTTGAATGGAGTGGTGCTGTTGATTGGTGAGAGCTCTGTAGGTTGTTGTGGAGTGGAGCTGTTGATTGGTGAGAGCTCTGTAGGTTGATGTGGAGTGGAGCTGTTGATTGGTGAGAGCTCTGTAGGTTGATGTGGAGTGGAACTGTCGATTGGTGAGAGCTCTGTAGGTTGATGTGGAGTGGCGCTGTTGATTGGTGAGAGCTCTGTAGGTTGATGTGGAGTGGAGCTGCAGCATGTGGTCTGGAGTTGTAGGTTGGATGTGAATTGAGTTATAACTCAGGAAGTGGAGATTTAGCTTACAAAGGTGAGAGAGCTCTGTATGTTGATGGGGAGTGGAGTTGCAGCTTGGTGGTGTTGTCGCTTGTGGTGTAGAGCTTAAGTTTTGATGGGGAGTGGAGCCTCAGTTTGGGATGTAGAGCTATAGGTTGGTGGGAAATGGAGTGGCTGGTAGGTTGATGGGGAGTGGAGTTGCAGCTTGGTGGTGTTGTTGCTTGTGGTGTAGAGCTTACGTTTTGATGGGGAGTGGAGCCTCAGTTTGGGATGTAGAGCTATAGTTGGTGGGAAATGGAGTGGCTGGTAGGTTGATGGGGAGTGGTGTTGCAGCTTGGGGTGTGGAGCTGTATATAGGTGGGAATTACAGCTTCCAAATAGAAAATAGAACAGTAACTGAGGATTTGGACTATATCTTGCAGATCCCCTCTTCTAAGTCAATTCAATAAAATTAATAATTACCATAAATCCAATACAACAAAATTAAAGTCAAATTATAAAACAAAAAAATAATGTATATTCTACGCAGGTGCTAATGATTTGGTATTAAAGAATTTTTCTATTATTGTTTTGAAAAATGGATACAGGAAATTACCTTTTGAATATCTGATTTCACAAGCTTCATTTGTTCTTTTAAAAAAGTTGCCTCCTGTTTTACAGATTCAATGTCCCTAAGAACCCTGGGAAGGTTCTGGATAGCTTGTTGGCTGCTTTCCTCAATAGAATTGTTGACCTCCTGGAAAAAACATACACAAAATGAAAGGTTAATTTAATCAATCGAAAGGAAATGAAGTATCAGGCAACAATACCCTCAGATGAATGCATAATTATCATAATGATATAAAATTAAGGAAATTAGCAAAATTAAATATCCATACAGTAGTACTAACCTGAATGAAAAGCTGTAGTTTCATGACACACGTGGCAGCATAAGCCTATCAGATAAATACAAGTTTAAAAACATGTTGAATATCAAGACATCACAAAACAATGGATCGCCTAGAAGTGATGTATACAAGTGCCTTAAAAATGATGTGGAATTTTAAGAACAGTTTAGTGGAAGACTAGAATTTGGGTGTAAAGATGCATTCACATTAGATCCGAAACGAAATTCGGACCGTGATTCTGATGCGCTGAACTCCAGCATCCTCATTCCTACACACTGATCCGATTTCCTGATCAGTTTGGTAGTTTTTACAAAAAATTTGGATTCAGGGTAAATGCTGCTTAAGCCACGTTTATTGTTTATGCATTTTGTCAACTTTGAACAAACTGCACAAGCAACATCTGCACAAATTTAACAACAATTTAAAGGTTAAAAGGTTATGTATTTATACCACACAAAACACAAGGGTCTCTACACGCAAAAACAAGTGAATAGATGTAATTGGAAAAACCAAGCTAGCACCCAAATCACAGTATGGGGATACATCCTCGTCGCTGAGCAGGGATCTGTGACCCTGTCCAGCACTAGTTGAGTCTTGGCCATCCCTGGACTCAGGCACCTCCAATACTGATAGTATAAAAGCAATTAAAAAATACACTCAGTGCCACTGTGAGTGATACCAACCTAGGCCTAAAGGTTAATTTCATCAATGTGTGAGACTCAGTTATGCCTAAACCAGGAGTGGGCATAAATATGTGTTGGAGGGCCAAAGAAACACTGACAGTGAGGGGTTTTCTAGTCAGAGATGGTAGGCGGGGCACATGTGGCCCGCGGGCTGGGTTTTGGGTACCTGTGCTATAAAGAAGGTTTAGTTTTCAAATCACAATATTATGCTACTCTAATCTATCGAAAATAAAATAAGTAGGCCTAGGCATATTGATGTCGCTATTGTCATGTCCTTATATAGACAAAACATTGCCTGGCTAAATTAAAAATTAATTTTAGATACAATAGATTTTAATTTGCACTGCAGCACATCATAGAAGTGGTTTGGCGCAGCAGGAACGGTTTGGTTTCCCAACCTCGAAGTCGGGGTTTCAATCCCTCGCTGTGCATTTCGCTTGTGTCCTTGAGCAGGCACTTTTCTACATTGTTTCTTTTCAACTAGGAGTGTAAATGCGCTGATGTAGCTGCTGCATCATTACGGAATAGCTCCCCCAGGACGCTTGAGTTTGTGTTCCTTAGGCGTTTAATCCAATGACCGGGGTAATGATAATGTGAAGCGCACAGAGGACTTAACATACAGTAACACACTATATAAATAAATCTACTACTAGTAATACTACAGTACTTTGAAATTTCATTCACTGCGTTTTGAAACTACTGTATCACATTTTTTTTAGCACAGTTTCAATGTGAAAATCAGTAACATATCCACCTGAATTCAAATTACAGGAAGTTTGGTGACAAGGTAATGAATAAATATATCAAACAATGAAGAAAGAGTTCATTCAACATCAACTGACAACTCACATCACGCTGATCGTTCTCTTCTTTCTGGGCTTTAAATGCTGCATTAACCCACTCTTTTGCATCAAAGTCACCATCCAAAAACTTCGAAAAGTCCTGAAATATATAAAAGACAAAATAAGCTAAGTTAGTAAATTTGATGATCACTTCCTTTTCAGAGCTACAAAGCCCGGAATCCGTGTTTAAACCCCTATCTATGCAGACGGCGGCCAGCCTCGCTGGCTGGGCCTAATATGGTGTAGCCTAGGGCGCTAGGCCTACCCTACAAACAAGGGGATGAGGCCAAGGTTGATATTTTTAGTGTCATCATAATTTAATCATAGGTTAATGAATTATTACTTACCATATCGTATGAATACAGTAAACTGGCTTACTCCAGTCACAACTAAGGGCTCTCCCTAACCTTGCTAGGCCTAGTCTAGCCCAGCATAAAAACTGACCGCTTACGATACGAACGTGGCAAGTGTTTGTGTGATGTTATTCGGTTGGATGTCAACAATATGGAACGCCAATAAGGCAAAAATCACATCTATTCAGGTTCAGCTGCGCATGGCTTTTTTCAGTCGGGGTTTTTGGTGTCAATCTGGATGGATCCAGCATTATCCAGACCGGGGGTGGGAGGGGAACAACATTTTCAGAATAGATAAGTGGGTAGCGCTTACTTCAATACGTAACACTGATATGCATTGAAATTTAAAAATTTAATGACAATTTGGGGGGAGAGGGCATGTGCCTCTGTGCCTCCCCTTTTCGTCATTGGATCCGCGCCTGATGATTTAAAAAGAATGTTTCAGACCAGATATCTAAACATCTAATTAACTGATCTGAACGAAACTTGGAAGAGTGTGATCAAATTACAAGGAAGAATCGATTGCTTTTTGGTGACGATCCTGGTTTTGGGTGTGGATTGGTGGTCATAGTGCAAAGGCCTAGACAATCTGAACTCTTAGAGGATCTGAATGAAACTTTCTCTAGAATGGTTTGTCATGCTCTAAGGATCAGCGCAAGAAATTATTCAATTTTGGTGACAATCCGGAGCAGAGTGTGGAGTGGACAGGAGCACCATTTAAAGGGTACAGGGTACTTCCCAGACCTAGATAGCTATAAACAAAAAAAAAAAAAAAAAAAAAAAAAGGAGCTGAGCATCTGAAAACATAATGGCCAAGGGAAAAGAATATGACATTTTGGTGACTCCGTCCGGTGTAGGGTGTGTGCATGTGGAGACCCTTCAAATGGGTAGTTGATGATACAACGGGTTCAGCCGAGGGGGCGTGGCTTGTATGGTAACACGTCATAAATCTACCTAAAAACATCGCACATACACCGTGTGACCATGATGGAGGAAGAATTTGTGACCATGTGACGTTAGTGAGGCGGGCTGAGGCTTAGTTTGTACATAGGTTTGTGCTACTGCTACGGCCGGGTGACGGACGATCGGGGGCCCATGAGACATCGAGTCCATTTCCAGACCATTGGGCCCAAAGTATGGACGATCGTGTCGGTCTAGGCACCTCTCCCTGCGCTAGGTCGGGCCAGGAGGCCTCTTCAGTAGTCCGAAGCCTTGGCAAAGCATAGTCCTAGAAAGTGCTTCAGCAACCCGCAGCAGTCTGTCTAGCAGCGGCGGGGCCGGGGGACAATGGAGCTAAATCCCCAACCCCATCGGACAAGTCAAGGATCCCCCGGCCGAGCTCGAAGGGCAGTCGGACCAACAACAAAAAAATTAAATATAGGCCTACACCAAGCCATGTCTTTCACACTGCTAAGTGCCATTTCCGGCCATCCAGAGCTCCCTTTAGAAAAACCTCATCTCCTAAACCCCCTCCTCAGGCATACGAGCTCAATCCCCCTGTTGGATAGCTTAGCTCACCCCCGAAAAAATGTATCCCAGAGCAGCCACTGTCTAGGCCTTTAGGCCTATGCAGAATGTGGCCCTAGGCTACTAAAGAATAGGCCTAATTGTTATTTAATACATTACTTTATACAATACAAATTGCAATTAATACAGACATTGGAAGGTTAATATATTTTATTTAACTAGAAATTGCAAATTGCAAGTGAAAGTGCTGCGAAGTACAACTGCATAAAATGTTCTTCGAACAAAATTATTTATG